ATTAGAAGAACAATTACGAAATAAAATCAATGAATTAAATGAACAAATTTCTGATACGGTAAATATCTTCTTTCTCTTTTAATCATTATTGATTATTATATATTTATTAGAAGGGGTTTTTGTGGAGATTTTAGAAATTTCACTGATTGAAATCATGAGTCAATTGAAGCTAGACCACCATGGAATATCTGGAAGCACTGCTCACTAATGTCTGGCTTCAACAGGTATTTCCTGGAGTTCTAGTGAAAAGCCGTTACCAGTGGAGTTCATTCAGGTCTGTTGTGAGATTTCAACTCACTGAAGACAATGATGTACGGTGGCGCAACTTCGTGAATTGGTTGAAGTTAGACATTAACACCGTTGGATGCCGGCCAGCTCAATTGTCTAGTTGGTTAAGCGCCTAGCTCGAGACCAATAGACCCTGGGCTCGGATCTCGTGCGGTTCGGGATCGTGGATGTGCGCTGCTGAGAAGTCCCATACTAGGACGAAACGGCCGTCCAGTGCTTCCAGGTTTTCCATGGTGGTCTAGCTTCAATTGACTCATGATTTCAATCAGTAATATATATTTCAATTATTTTTCAATGGTCAAACCAATTGTGAAATGTTTTATAAAACTCTACCAATTTAATTTGAAATGATCTGTAATTTGAGTAAACATTTTTTCTTATAGTGTTTTGTTCTCTGAGATGGATGATTTGGTTGTGAAGATATAAAGTTCTTCTGAACAACATCATGATATGGTTCAGCTTTCATCATTCTTCTTTACTTCAGGTAGAAGTGAAATATTCGAATTTCTTTACATATGATTCACAGTTTGGCCAAAGGATGAAATGATGAAAGAAGACAAAACAGTACATTGGACAAAACGGATGCCATATTTATCTTCACCTCCATGATGAACATCAATTGGTAGTTAAATGCCATGACAACTACGGACACACATTCAAATGGACAAGTGTGGAAATGTTGAATAGAGGTAACGTCGAAAACATCAGAGAATTTTTAGAAGTTTAACACTGATCAATCAGCAATCAACAAGCACATTGAATTCGGTCCAATTTATTAATCAATCAGGGAAATTATGCACAAATATAGGACCAAAAATGAAACCAATGGGAGATATAACCAAAACTAAGAAGTAAACAATGACACATTCAAGGTCAACAAGAACTAATGAACACCGAGGTGTACAGGATAAGTTGTGAACCACATGCGGATAAATTCGAACATTTCATGTCTATGTGAATTTTGTGTTGATGATTGTCGTTCAGAAGAACGATTAAATCGCCACAACCGAACCGTACCGTTCACAGAACAAAACTTCATCAAAATCATCCACCTAAGCTACAAATCTTCTTCACCATCTCGAGCAACCATCTTGTATGATTTAACAATATCACTTTCGAGACCGAAAGTTCCAGGTTCGACTCCAGCGTACGTCATCGTGAATGTGCACTTCTGAGAAACCCTGCGCTAGAACACTGATCGGTTCATTATCTTAAATAAAACTCAATAATCTCCTACATAATATCCTACATCTTTGTATCTTCCGTACATTAAAACAATCCATATTCGAACTTTTAGTTTAAGTAAAGTACATTCTAATGAACTAATAATGTATTACACTTCACATAGGGTTCACACTAACACCACAGAAGATATTTGAGGTCGTTTGACGTAATAATTATAGATGTACAAACTATTTCAAGGAAGAATATATTTTAATTATATAAATAAGTTTATTTACTCAATGTTTTCAGATTCTAAAGTGAATAAACATATTTCCAATTAAGGAACGTCCATTGATTACACAAAAATTACATGTTTATTGTAAATTTTGTACTTTTGAATCGTGAATTCCATAAAGTTGAATTATAATACCTACCCTTAGCCATGTTTGTAGATGCAGACTACTTGACTGGGGTCCGCATGACTGTCGTAACCAATGGTTGGAGACTCTGGGTGAAATGACTCAGAATCGATCACAATGGCGTAGGCTTATACATGCTCTGTCTTCCCTTAAACTATGAGATTAAAATCGCTTCATAACTTTCTTTCTACGAACTAATTCTCTCTTCCTGGACTATATATATCCCTATATGATATCTTTCTTCTATACACTACCACCACTGAATTAACTACTTTTATGAATCCGGTGTCCATCTTGTTGTGTCAATGAGGTACGGCATCTTGAACCAATGTATATATGTGCCTGGTCCAACGTTGTAGCTGATTGATTGACTGACTGACCGATAATAGCGAGTCAACCACAAACATACAAACTACTTCAAGGTTACGGCATATGCTTGTCTATCAGAACAGTATGTTCCCTACGAGTCATTAAACAAAGTAAATGTTTAATTTAATGTTCCCATCACAAAATCACACTAGTTATCATACAAGAATTTTTTTCTGGTTAGCGTTTTTTTAACGGGTTAGTTTTCTACGGTATGGGGTAAGTAACACAGTTGTTAGGAAACGGGTACTAGGTAAAGATGGCAAATCAATTGATGAAGTAGTGAAACTTCGTCAGTTGAGATGGCTGGGACACGTGTTACGTATGCCCAACGACCGACTGCCTCGACGTGCTATGTTCAGTGGTATAGGAGTAGGTTGGAAGAAAGCTAGGGGCGGCCAAACCAAAACATGGCACAAGTCCATGAAGTCACTGACAAGTGAACTTAGTCATGTTGGTAGGTGTAGACTACCTGGTTGGGATCCGCGAGATGATAGCAACCGATGGTTAGAGACCCTAAATGACATGGCTCAAAATCGTTTGGAATGGCGCAGGTGCATCCACTCTTTGTGTTCTCCCAAATTCTAGTCTTCTGAATTCTTCATGTCCCTTTTTTCCTCTTTCCAAATTTATTTCGCTGTATTATACTGTTTAAATAACATCTCCAAACCCTAATCTTCCCTATTACTGCTTATACTCTTATTACCTCTATCACTACGGGATTTGAAACGACAACTGCATCTCTGTGCTAATGTGTACGTACGAAGTTCTACGTTGTTACTGACTGACTGACTGACTGACTGACTGACTGACTGACTGACTGACTGACCGACTGACTGACTGACTGACTGACTGACTGACTGACTGACGGGATGGAGACGCTAACCCCATGCCCAACCCTCCTCCTTTATCCGGGTTTGGGACCGGCAGTAGCCCACGGAGGGACTCCAATCACAATTGACGGAGAAGATTTGGAAGATTTAAAAACCTTTACCTATTTGAGCAGCATCATTGATGAACAGGGTGGATCTGATGCAGATGTGAAGGTGCGGGTCGGCAAAGCAAGAGCAGCATATTTACTACTGAAGAACATCTGGAACTCAAAACAGTTGACAACCAAAACCAAGGTCAAAATTTTCAATACAGATGTCAAGACAGTTCTACTGTATGGGGCAGAAACCTGGAGAACTACGAAACCCATCATCCAGAAAATACAGGTGTTTATTACCAGTTGTCTACGCAGAATACTTCAGATCCATTGGCCGGACACTATTAGCAACAACTTACTGTGGGAGAGAACAAACCAGATCCCAGTGGAGGAAGAAATCAGGAAGAAGCTCTGGAAGTGGATAGGACACACAATGAGGAAAGCACCCAACTGCGTCACAAGGCAGGCCCTCACATGGAATCCTGAAGGTCAAAGGAAAAGAGGAAGACCAAAGAACACATTACGCCGAGAAATGGAGATAGACATGAGAAAAACTAACAAGAATTGGATGGAACTAGAAAAGAAGGCCCAAGACAGAGTGGGTTGGAGAATGCTGGTCACCGGCCTATGCTCCATTGGGAGTAACAGGCGTAAGTATGTAAGTAAGTAACCATACAAGAATACTTTGTAGCTATATAGAGTAGTCACTCAAACAAAAATTCGAAAAGCTAACTTAAATTCCTATCACAAATCATTTATCCATTTATATTGTCTTTGTTAGTTGAACGGGTTAAAAATTGTCAAGGTTACCTGAAGTCACTTAAACCCATCTTCGTAGTTCAGCCTCACTATTCATTCTTCCACACGTAAACACCGATTACTGATTGGTTGAAACGGTGTTCGTCATTACAATCTTGGACGATAAACTTCAATGATGGCTATATTTAAATCTCAATATAATATTTATACTGATTGATGATTTTATCTATTTGTATATTTTTTAAAATTCATATTTTATTGATCTTTAGCGTACCTCAAGCCAACCTACTCATCAGTTGACGTTAAAAATTGAAGAACTTCATAAAGAACTGGAACGTAAGGAAGCTCAGGTGAATGTTTATTAATTTGTATTTTTGTTTGTTTAAAGTATTTTCATTTGTTGTAATCACTTTTTTATGAAGCAGCTCAATAGATACCGACTCAATGAAATACTTTAAATACTTCCAAATATATGGTGAAAAGACGGAGTTGATGAAATGCCTTTTGAGTAATCAAGTCCTACATTAATTTTATCAATGATTTTCAAATCAACTCCGTTTTCCTGTCATTTTTGATGAATTAGTTGTCAATTTTCTTTAGTCTGTAAGTTATACCTCTGATATTAGACAGTTAGAGAAAATTAACAGAAAGCGATAAGCAACAATCTACTTGAGAGCGAACAAAGCAGATCTCAACAGAGGAAGAAATCACAAAGAAGAGCTGGGAGTGGATAGGATGCACATTGAGAAAAGCACCGAACTGCGTCACCAGGCATGTCCTCATTTAGAATCCTCAAGGTCAAAGGAGAAGTTGAAGACCAGAAAACATCACGTCGAGAAACGGAGACAGATAGAAGAAGAATGAACAACAATTGGATGGAACTAGAAAGAAAGGCTGAGGACAACGTGTGTTGAAGAATTCTGTTTGGCAGCCTATGCTCCATTAGAAGTCACAGGCGTAACTAACTAACTAATAAGCCCGTGTTTTATTTTAGTTGGCTGTCATCAGTAGGGTGTATATGAAATCTTGAACATATTAATGTAGATTGGAACAGATGTCACTATTTCGGTCAAGTATTTCCCCATTTATGTATTGTAAACAATCAAATAAGTGATAAATTAAGGAATATAGTAATATTATCATTACTTAATATGTTTATGCTGCAACTGACATGTGACCTCATAGCTTTTCAATCATAAGGATACGTTCTCATATATGTGGATAATTACATAGAAACTATAGTGTTAACCCTTTTGTTCATCCATTCAAATGAGACCTTTCAGAAGAAACTTATCTGAATTAAAGACGCATTATCTGTAATGATTTTAATCTAAATACTGATTCTTATGTAAAAGAATCCAACAGATAGATTTGAAAGGGAAAACTTTTGATAAAAAATTAAAAAATTTCTATTTACTGTAGTACAACAAGTCAATAAGTTTGGTTGTTTTAAAATGTCATATTAGTAAGTGATAGACATCATCCAGAAGATACAAGTGTTTATTAACAGTTGTCTACGCAAAATACTTCGAATTCGTTGGCCAGACACTATCAGCAACAACCCACGGTGGGAGAGAACAAACCAGATCCCAACGGCGGAAGAAGCGCTGGAAATCGATAGGACACACATTGAGGAAAGCACCGAACTACATCTCCAGGCAAGCTTTCACATGAAATCCTCAAGGCGTGAGGAGAAGTTGAAGACCAAGGAACACATCACGTCCAGAAGTGGAGACAGACATGACAAGAATGAACAACAATTGGATGGAACTAGAAAGAAAGGCTGAGAGCAGAGTCGGCGACCTATGCTCCTTTAGGAGTAACAGGCATAAGTAAGCCTTCGATTGGTACTCCAAATGAAATCATTCTTCAACAAATATAACTTATAAATGGAAATGTATCATAAGTATTTATTAAGATGCTCAAATGTATTATTATTCACTTGAACTTCTTCTATTCATAGATTACATGCTTGAATAAACAGATAGATCGTCAATATACATCATTATCGACTACACCAGATGCACGTCATACTGATTCCACTAATCAACAATTATTAATAGCTGATTTACAAGTTCGTCTTCGTCAAGCTATTGAAGATCGTGATATTGCACGTGAACAATTGACAACTAATTTAACTAGAGCTGAAACGTCTACACTGGATATACAACAACAATATATGTTGGATAAAGTAAGCATCAATATATATATGTTGATACATTTCTTTAAATAGAAAGTTACTTCAGTAAATTTTCAAGGTTATTTTACGCCAATACCTGAACATATAAATTGGTCTTTCGCATACATTTATTAAGTAATTTAAGTTCCTCGAAGACATTTTGTTGAGGTTGACTTAATTTGTGAGTTATATTCATCATATACTGATCACGGTTGAGATTACTGGGATCACATTGGACAATCGTTTCATCATTGTATGGGACTTTTTGTCAGTAGACATCCAGGACTCCTTAAACATAAAAATTAAGACAAACTGCAATGTATGGTAATAAGTCATGACTGACGAAGTTCACATATGTCAAGAATAAAACAGTTGTAATTGATAGAATTGAACAATTCTTAACCAAACTGGTTGAATTTAAAACTATGGCAATGGCTTTGTTGTGTAAACAATCGCTATAATTCCTAAAAGTTTAGTTTCATTTGAAAATAGTTATCATCACAGATTGATTTTAGCTGACTAGTCATAGATAAGGAGAAGATTATGATTAGTTGTTTTATCCTAGTGTTAGATAGATTAACAGTAAAGTACACTCGTGTTCACATCCAAACTCACAACTAAGACTTTACATTCACATAATGAACCCCTCAAATTTCCTATCACTGTATTATGATTTCTTGATTCACATATGCAGTCATTTACTTCATGAACTAGTTACATTTGAGTCATTCAGTTTTAGTACAAAATAATCAAAATTATAGGACCTTAGTTAGTTAGTCAGTCAGTCAGTAACAACGTAGAACTTCGTACGTACGTACATCAGTTCGAGTCGCCACACCACATTAGCACAGAGATGCAGTTGTCGACTCAAATTCCGTAGTGGTAGGGGTAGTAAGAGTATAAGCAGTAATCGGAAACATTAGTTAGTTAGTTACTCAGTTAGTTAGACTGTAACACTAAAAACTTGTTATTATTCTTCAGCCTTGGTATAGAAAATACGGTAAGATTATAGTTTATTGACGATCTTTGAGCGACGCTAGGCTGACCTTGAAAGTATCTACGTAATAACTAGGACTAAATGAAGGTTATAAACTTGTGTGAACAATTCGATTTATGATTCACATTTGATGGTTAGGGTTAGGAATTACATTTAGGGATTTTATCACTAACTGACATCAGCTATAATGCCAAAACTATATTTAGCCAAATGGATGAATGAATTTCGCACCAAACTCCGAGACCTGTTATCTTATACCTGATTTGTTCGTCCATAAATTATAGTTTCGCCGAAAATACCATAACATGTTTCCTTATATGTATTTTAATGTACTTCTTAAAGTGGATTAATTAAGACGTTAATGTGCATCTACTGGTTGTATTTGTTTTGAAAATAGATTCTTTTATCAACTCTCATCAAACTGAGGTTCAGTGATGATAACAAGAAGACATTATCGACCAGTTCTTCATATTTTGCAATCAATAATACAAACTCACAGCAACATAAGATTATTTCATGAAACTTCAGACTTAAGAGTAAACATGGTGACATATAGTCACTGCCGGCATTATCAATGATTTCGATCAAATCGAGTTGATTAACTTAATTAGGAAGCTAACTTTCTTACAATAGGTCAGAGATGGGTTCATTACCTACTTACTTACGCCTGTTACCCCTCATCGAGGAGCATGGGCCCGTCCACTAGCATTTTCCATCCAACCTTGTCCCAGGCAATCCTTTCCAGTTGCTATTCATCCTTTTCATCTCTGCTTCCATTTCCCGATATAGTGTATTCTTCAGCCTTCTTCTTTTCCGTTTCCTTTCAGGATTCCGAATTAGTGCTTGCCTCATGATACTGTTTATTGATTAGATGGGTTCATTATTCAAGCTAAATATAGTCGATATCTAACTGAAACTGTTGTTGTTCCAATATTCAATTCGTAACAATCTAGTACAATTAATGAAAATATATCATTTCTTTATTTACCTTGTTTTTCTAGCAAAATTTACAACAACAAATTACAAATTTAACACAATCCGTACAAAATGCTACAAATGAATCAGAACGCTATCAAAGAGAATTCAAACAAGCTAGTTCACGTGTTCAACAACTTAGTCGTCAATTACAAGAAACACAATCAAACTGTGATTCAATTGCTCGACAAAGAGATAGTTTAAGAGATCAATTAGATCAGGTAACATTAATATTATTTCTCTTACATTACTAAATTATTGCATTGTGGTGTCGGTTATTATGTTAAGCCCATATACCTTATTCTAGCTTTCGGATAGCCCATTCTATTCATCCTACATGAGTCACATCCTGACCTTGTTAATTATTCACTTATCAACATTGACTGTTTTTATATGAGCGCATGTGTACCATTCTTATTCCATTACTCATCATACGTCTGTAACATATTTTTGTGTGACTATAAATGTTGATTAACTCTTGGTTAATTGGAGTTGGCTTACCCGCCATCTCCACTGCGCGTCGTTTCTCTTCTCTCTACTCCATTCGCTTCATATACAAAATATATGTATTCAATAATTCATTCTCGTTATTCAACAACGATCACTCATACGATCTACTTGGAATCAGATCCACGGGCCACTAGAGTGGAGAGCCCATCAACAAACATCGTCCGATCTAAATGACGACAATAAAAAAGGGCCCCACAACATGATCTCTAAGTTATAATGAAACAAGCGTTTAACTTGAAAATGTTAACAACTTTTCAAACATATTGGTATACTAATGTTTGAATTTTATCTTAATCAATTGAAATACAACCTATTTGTAATAGGATCTAAAAGAAAGTTGGTCTAAACATGTAAAAAATTACTATATATATTAGCACATAAAAGGATGCAACTTTTTAAATTCACTTCGTATTGTTTACTTGTATCTTCCTATTGTTATTTAAGACTGCAGTCTCTTACTGGCATATGTGCATGTTGTGTGGATTGCCTCGATATTGCCTTAATTCACAAGCATTATAACGACGCATATTCAGCTGACGAGTCCCAGATAGGACGAAACGTGCGTTCTGAATTCCAGTGCTAGCCACTGTCCAGCTCTATTTATAATGCTTGAGAAGTAAGGCAATATCAAGACAATACGCATAGTATGAACATATACCAATAAGGAACTGATCAATTGCAGTCCTAAACATTAATGGGAAGATTTAATTAAACAATACTAAGTTAATTTAACTTCACTCCATTGCACAAACAGGTGGCTATCAGGACTTGGTGGCTAAGTGAACAACGCAATGGTGTTTGAAGCGAACAGTACTGGATTGGAGTCCCAAAATGAACATGAACTCTGAGATGCAGGTAGATCGAGCTGACGAGTCCGAAGTAGGACGAAATGCGCGTCCTGCATTCCACTGCTGCTTATGGTACAACCTTTTGTTTAGTTATATTTTCACCAATGATCCATATTTATTGATAGTTATATGAATAATTAGGAAATTATAAGAACAATCAAGACAATTTATAAGTTACTTGATAGTAGGATGATAAGTAGGCCAAGACTTAATGTGAGAAAAGGAAATAGATGAAGAGAAATGTATGAAACGTAATAAGAATTTTTAAGCTTTATTCCTTATGATTAATTATGTGGTATTGTCGTGTATGTTCTACTTAAATCGACATGAGTAGTATATAACGATGGTCAGGATTAGAATGTCTGGCAACAGAAAATCGAGAAGAAAAGAACGGGAACAGAAAGCAATTATTATGAAAGTGCAAGAACAGTGAAGTCTGAGATGACTGACTGATATTTGCAAAAGAAACAGCCAAGTTTGAGACATTGGATCGACATTTTGCAAATGAAGTATTCACTGTATAGTTCTCAGATCATAATAAGATGTTCTGTAATTTTGTATTCAATTACGTTCAACTGTCCCCAGTTATGTTCTCGTTTACTACAATATAATTAAATATGATTTGTTTTACAATACTGAAATGAGTATCATTATATTATTTAATTCATTTTAACTAAACAGTTAAAACGTAGTATGGGACGAACTGGTTCAGGTACAGTAACTAATATATTTGGAATAAGTAGTTCAACTAGTGGTATGCGTCCAGCATCTGCTGGTCCTGGAAATTATGATAATATTCCATTATATGGAACAACACCTGGAACAATTCAACTTTCTAGAGAAATGGATCGTTTACATAGAGAATGTGAACATTTACAAAATCAATTAAGAACTAGTCAAGAATCAGAACAACAAGCTCATAATTTAGTTGATAATTTAAAAAATGATATAAAGAATCTTACAAATGATGTTGAACAATTCAAAGAACAAATTAAAGAATTAGAAAAACAAAAAAATGAATGTAACAATGAATTAGTAAGTTCATTTTTAATTGAAACATTGAAGTTATTTATTATTATATTTATTTTAATATCAAATGGGTTTTTTTGTGGAGTTTGTAGTAATTTCAATGGTTAAGATCATGAGTCAGTTAAAGCTAGACCAATGATGAATGTGTCGCTCAATTTCGTGGATTAGTTGAAGTTAGACATTAACACCGTTGGATGCTGGCCGGCTCAGTGATCTAGTGGTTAAATGCTCGCGCGCGAAACCAGTAGGTCTTGTGTTCGAATCTCGCAGAGGGCGAGGTCGTGGATGGGTACTGCTGAGGAGTCCCACAACAGGACGAGACGGCCGTCTAGTGCTTCCAGGTTTTCCATGGTGGTCTGCCTTCAACTGACTCATGATCTTAACCATTGAAATTACTACAATCTCCACAAAAAAAACCCATCTGATATTAATCAACATATGCTCACTAGTGACTGGCTTCACGAGGTATATCCTGGAGTTCTAGTTAGAAGTAGTGACCAGTGGAGTTCAACCAGGTCTGTTGTGAGATAGTAACTCACTGAAGACAATAGTGAATATATTTATTTTATTTGAACACATAAACAATAATACAAAGAGGCATCAAAATAGATATACGATACATAAATCATTCGATTTTTGTGAGGGTTGCGTGCTCAAATCGAAACAAGTGGTCTTCTTAGGAGGCTGTTGTGACTGGAACTTAGATCGATTTTTACCCGTGCCAATTGTTGTGTCCTTGACTGAAAGATTAGAGAGCAGTGTATTATCGATCAGACCAAAGACGCGTAGAACACGTAAGAACGACCTAGAATTCTGATTGACCCTGCTTCCCTGTCTAGCCAAGCCAGTTGAGTCCAGAATGCAAGTCTCAGCCTCTGAGATATGAATCATTGTATTTCAAGCATACTCTGTTTATATACCAATCAAACAGACCACAACGTACCAATAAAATAGAAAATAACATTTGTACAATAATTAGCCAGAAGTGGCTGTGAATGAGGGATAGGCGATTAACAGATAGGGTATAATTCATGAATGGTGAATCGTACGATAGTAGTTCATAGGTCAACATAAAGCTCAGAATAAGACGGGTACGAATATGAACAGTTTAGTTGCATAACAATTATACGATAAAAATATACTCATAATATTGGTCCATAATTGGATCCCAAAAATTTCCATTCATTATTCTTATCGGGACACAACAGAGGCCACACCTGGAACCTTTGACGTAAAGGTCTAATCCACAAGGTAGTGGAGCAACATCAGGAGATGTAGTTCCATGGTAGCCGGCGACCAATAATTGGTTCATATGCCATTTGTTCCTTGAGGATGGTGGAGCCTATGTGGACCATTGGTTTGGAATCAGGGTTTTTTTCAACTCCCTCCCAGATGGATTCTTTATTTTTTTATTTATTTATTTGAACACATAAATATTGGTACAAGAGAGCGCCAATATATATGCGCCACACAAAACAATGGGAATTCGAAGAGAAGTAAAAAGAAAAAGAAAAAAAACTAAGGAACGCAAAAGAAAAAGAGAGTAATGACGAAGAGGTACAATCAGAAGAAATCTTTCAGGTAAAGGAGACACAACCACTTTTTATGAAGAAAGTAAAAGAAGGTTACAGCAGGATCGCCACTGGCTTCTATTCTGAGCCATATCTGATAACGTCTCTAGCCACTGTGTAGCACCATCTCTCGGACCCCAACCAGGGAGTCGTGAAGGACCGACAGAAGCCAGTCCTTTGCAGCTTTCTTTCATGCCACGACACCATGTCATGCACTGACCACCTCTCCGCTTTCTCCAACCAGTCCCAGAGTCGGCAAATAATGCACGACGTGGAATTCTCTGGGACGACATTCGTAGAACATATCCAAGCCACCGAAGTCGGTGTTTCAAGATGGTAACACCAATTGAGTTATCATCTCTGTGCCCGAACACACGATGCCGAACCTCTGGATTACTGACATGGTGTTGCCACTGAATGTCAGCAATCCTTCGGAGACAGCGATGATCGAACACAGAGAGTCGTCTAACGTCCTCAACTCGGAGAGGCCAGGTTTCACAAGCATAGAGCAAAACTGCTCTCACCGACGCGTTGTAGATCCGACCTTTTACAGCCAGACTAACATCACGAAGGTGCCAAAGGTGGCCCAGATTGGCATAAGCCGCTCTGGCTTTCACTATTCGTGCATTGATCTCATCACTCACACCCCCACCAGCACTTATGCAGCTACCCAGATACACGAACGTCTCAACTACGTCTATCTGCTCACCGTCCAGGGTGAGTACAGGATTAGAATCCTGCCAGTCTTGTAGAAGTACTTTGCACTTCGAAGGTGCAAAGCACATACCATACCTACGAACACTGATTCCCAACTGATTAAGTGCATGCCATGGGCATTACCGCACAGTAAGACAATATCATCCGCATACTCAAGGTCGAGAAGTCTTTCTCCAGGCAACAGATCCACACCACCATTACTTACATTCATCAGAGCTGTTTCCAGAATGTCATCGATGGCAAAGTTGAAGAGGAATGGTGAGATTGGGCAACCCTGCCTAACCCCACTGCTCGAATGGAACAATGGAGAGAGGTGGTTGTATGCCCTCACTCTGCCTGAGGTGTTTTTATACAGGGCTTTTAGGATGTTAATAAACTTCTCAGGCACACCCTTCTTCAATAGACAATCCCAGAGAACAGTCCTATCCAACGAATCGAAGGCAGCCCTGATGTCAAGAAACACTACGATTGTTGGCCTTTGAAAAGTATGGCGGTGTTCTAACATTTGGCGGAGGGTGAAGATATGATCAATACATCCTCGACCAGAACGAAACCCAGCCTGCTCCTCGCGAGTCAATCTTTCTCGGGTTTTGAACAACCTACGAAGAATGACGGAAGCCAATAGCTTGGACGCAATCGGAAGTAAACTTATCCCCCGATAGTTGTTACAAGAACGACGTGAACCCTTTTTAAAGATAGGGACAACTATCGACTCATTCCATGACGTTGGTACACTCTCTAGTTCCCAAACCTTTGTAAACAACGTCGTCAATTCCTTAGTCAAAAAGTCACCACCATCTTTAAAAAGAGCCGGAGGTAAGTCATCTGGGCCAGGTGATTTGTAACGCTTCAGGGGTTGGAGTTCCTTGCGGACTTCCTCCTCATTTGGTGGATCAGTCGTCACCGGCCATGGAGGGCAGGACAGTCTGACCGATGTTGCCGGAGCAGCAGGCCAGTTGAACTGCCCTTCGAAAAATTCTGCCCATCGTCCAAGACGTCGATGGATGTTAGTAATTGGCATCCCATCATCCTCGCAGATTGTTTCACTCACACCAGACTTCTTGCTGCCAGTGGCTCGGATGAGCTGGAAGAGCTTCCGGTAGTTACCAGATGCAGCTGCTGCTTCCAGCTCATTAGCACGTATCGACCACCAGGCTTCTCGGTCCTTACGCAAGCTTTGCCCGATTTCATTACGTAACAGCCTTTGCTTGTGGTCAAACTCACGGTCACCCGGAGTAGACCGACGGACTTCGATGAGTAGCCTAAGGAAACCCAGTGCTTATAAGCGGGACGTTTCGCGAAGCCGCAAGCGGCTTTACTCGCCATTTTCATGGTGTCATGAAGTTGCAACCAACTTGCTGACATCAATCCTTTGGTGAAGGTCACTTCGTTGGCAACTGAAAAGTAAGGTAAGATTGGCGCCGACCAGGGCATGATCAGAGTCCAGATAGGTACTACAAAAGGACCGGTAGTCTTGTACACAACCACGCCAGCGGTAGCTGATCGCGATGTGATCAATCTGAGTCCAGGCTTGGGATGCAGAAGGAGGACGCCAGGTGGCACATCGGCGATGATTGTGCCGAAAGTTAGTGCTGGCCAGAAACAGGTTGTGGTCTGTGCACAGTTGCAGTAGACGGTTCCCGTTATCTGTCCTGCGACCAACGAGTCCCCATCGGCCACCTAAACGACTCTTTTCTGTGCCTTGACACCCAACCTGAACATTCAAGTCTCCGGCTAGTACTACAATATCTGTCGAACGCACTTTCTGGAGAAGAACAGTTAACTGGTGGTAGAATTCATCCATGATTGCATCTGGGCTGCAATCTGTCGGGGCATAGGCGGAGATGACGAAAAGACATCGTTTCTCACGCCGATTTCTTCTCACTTTGATGGAACTTCCTAATCTAACAGTACATAACCGGCTGTTAATGGGGATCCAATCGATTGGTGCTGCCTCAGCTATAGCGCTTAGTGCGACACCAACGCCAGCAAGACCAGACGAAGATGCCACATGGTCCCCGGATAAGCGCACGTAAAACAAGCTTTTCAAAGCGACAGATGGAGATCGAATTTGTAGTACTTCGCCAGAGTCTTGAATACGGGTCTCGGATAGACAACACACGTCGATATTAAGACTTTCCAAAGACATAGCCAGCCCTATCTGTTGTCCGACCTGCATAAATGTGCGAACGTTGAAGGCAGCCAGTTTGAATGGTGCACGTGGTTTCAGAAAATCTGCTTCAGTCCTCGTATTCGGTGGTAACATACAATTTTCAACCGGACAGTGACTCGAGAACGTTTAGATACAGTCGGAATTCCACCAAAGACGAGCCGCTGTATAAGTATAAAAGAAGGTGAATAATGTGGAAAATAATAATAATAATGATAATAATAACAATAATGACAATAATAGTAGTAATAATAATATTAGTATTAATAATGACAATAATTGTAGTGATCATAATTTGAATCAATTGATTGTTTTTCAAAGCGACAAAAGTAATTTCCATAGACATAAAGAGTTCATCATTTGTGTGTGGGCTGTGATACTGCCCGGGTGCCCAAACCGAAGCAGGTGGTTATCCTAGGGGGCCACTCCCCGAGCCTTTGACCTAAAGGTCTAACCCACAAGGCAGTGGAGCATCGTAAGGAGATGCAGTCCCATGGTAGCCGGTGACCAACGATTGGTTCATACGCCATTCGTTCCCGCAGGATACTGGAGCCCATGTGCACCATTGATTTGGAATCCGGTTAAAGCGCCGGACATTCGCTTTTCGTCCTCTCATTTTCGTAAACAACACCCCCGCCACGAGAAGGCAATGAGTAGGACTTCCCTGGCAGAGGCTGTATACGCGTGGCCGTGTGAGAGTATTTCGAGAGGGAGAGCGGACTCTCCCCACTCTCGGCCGTACCAGGGTATTCAGGGGGCAGATGGATTCTCCATATCCACCAATTCGGTTAGAGCACCGGACATTCGATTTAGTTCTTTCAATTTCGTAAACAACATCGCTGGTGCGAGAAGGCAGTGAGTAGGACTTCCCTGTTAGTGGTTGTATGCACGAGGCCATGTGAGAGCATTTCGAGAGAGTGGCTGACTCTCACTACTCTCGGCCGTATCAGGACATTTGAGGGCTTGGAAAAGCATTCATCTGAGACATTGAGGTTAACCTGAGAAAAAAGAACTAAATAAATGATCGATAATACTATGATGAAGTCATTCTCATTTCTAATTAGGCTAATCCATTTGAATCAGACGGATTAAAGAATGCATTATTACAATGTAATGACATCTGATATCTTTTGAACTTGGTACCGTTTAATAAGACGTAGTGAATCTAAGTAATAAACGATCTGTGGTGGTCGGTATTCAATATAATCCTTAAACTTCGTATACAGTTCGTCTTGATATTAATCAGAAGGCGAATATGAAGTGTTGATTACGTTTATTATGGGACCACACACAGATATCCAAAATTACAGGTGCGTTAAACAAACATGAAAGAGTTGTGCCGAAAACCAAGCGAACGAGTCAGCGAATATGAGTACGAGTAAGCGAATACACTTAAGCGAGAGAGAGCAATGAACATGAATAACATGAACATATATATACATAGTGAAATGAATGAATCATCGAACCAATTTAGCGGTTAGTAGTAGGGCTAGCAGCGTGAATAAATGCATGGGCAGGAAGCAATGCTCAAGCATACATGTTCATACATTCTCAACAATAATAAAGATACAATGATATAGATAAGTTGTTGTTGTTGTACGGATGACTCAGTTCGTTAATAAGTTAACAAAATGACCTAACCGAATTAAATGTGAACAAACTCAATTGCACGTGAGTTGCTATAGTTCCAATAAGAAGTATGTAATATCTACCTCTCAAAAGATGGGCATAATGTTCACCAATTCTCATTGTATGACTTTGTAACCATGATATACAATTTTTTCATTAGCTGAAGAAATAAATGGGTTGATAGTATGCCACTATGAATGTTTTGAAAGCCTTAGCGGAATATCGTGAAACTAATGTCTGTTTGATGCTGAAGTTGAGTAAACCAGTGAATGATCTTGTCAACTTACATTGATTGTGTTGATTGGGACAGGTGTCGTAGTAGCGTAAGCAAAGCTAGAGGTGGATACTTCAAAAATTACTTCTCATCCACTTGCAGCATTTCTTGTTATACATTTATTCAATTTATTTTTATTCAAGCAACTCTATTTAATAAATGCATCATTTTAACCCAGTTAGGTATTTTGTAACACATGAAATATACCCATCCTCAATCACTCTCGTATTCAACTTTGTATATGTAAGTTACATTACCGTGATGAAACGATAGAACTTATACAAATTAAATAATGTACTATATTTCATCATCTTTAACATATTGAGATCAAGTTGGTACATCAAATCATGTCACATAACATGACTACGGACTAATTCTTTCTTCCTGTACTATATCCTTTCTTTTATATATTACCACAATTGAATTAACCACTTCTATGAATCCGATGTTCATCTTGTTGTGCTAATGAGATATGGCAACTTCAACCGATGCACATTTGTGCCTGGTCAAACGTTGTAGTTGATTAATTGATTGATTGGCTGACATAACACGAGATTGAGTAGTTCCAGGAACTATAGACTTTTAAGTTGGGATAGCCAATATTACCTTTCTAGAAACTTATGTGATGTAACTGGCAATCGATTGCGGTGATAAAAACATAATCATTCGTTATTTTACTCTCTCTCTCTCTCTCTCTATCTGTCTGTCTGTCTCCAGAAGGTTCTTGTGAATATAATCGTCTAAATCCCATTCCTAAGTATAGATACACTTTAATGAATATATATTCTGATTAATGTTTCATCGCCTACTGTATAACAATATATGCATAAAAATATTTATAAATTACATTCAGCTTGTTTATGTTATCTTCTTTAGATCAAGACTCAACGTGAACTTCAAACGAAATCGGATGAAGCAAAAGATAAACTGACCCATACACAACAACTGTTGATTGAGAAAACAAGTCAGGTGATTTTTTTCAAAGATTTATAAAACATTTTCTTTTGGTTAGATTATCATCTATTGAAATAACTAACAATCTAATTTATTGTAAATAAAGATTTATTCATTATTCATGTTATCATACATTTAGTTTCCAAGTGGAGTTTTGTTCACTGAGCTGGTTGGTTTGATCATGAAGCTTTCATTGTTCTTCTGAACGACATCGTCAGCATAAACTTCAGGTAGAAGTGAAGTGTTCCAATTTCTGCACATATAACTTCCAGTTTGTCCCATAAACCTTGATCTTGACTGGTTATTATTGGCCTTTAACCTGTCATTATACAACTCTTTACTTTGATTGTATCTTTCTTTGGTTTGATTCTTGGTCCATTATTTGTCCATGATTTTTTTGATTGGTTGATAGATTGGATCTAAAAATTCACTGGTGCTTTTAGTATTCCCACTATTCAAGATCTTAACATTTGTCCAATTGAATATGTGTCCATAGCTATGAGTTACATGTGGAAGAACTCGAACATTTCAGTTCTATGTGAAGTTTGTGCTGATGATATTGTTCGGAAGAACAATGAAAACTCTACGATCAAACCATCGAACTCAGAGAACAAAACTTCACCTAAATCATCCAACTGAGCTACAAATCTTCCCCACCATTTTAACATTTTACTTCTTTTTTTTCTGGTTAGCGTTTTTTAGCGAGTTAGTTTTCGACTGGATGAAGTCGCTAACCCCATGCCCAACCCTCCTCCTTTAATTGTTCATGGAACCGGCAGTAGCCCCCGGAGGAACTCTAGGCGGAGTTGTTTTACTTCTGTACCCATCAATAATTAATTACGTAACACTTTTTACTATATATTACCATAATGATCATTTTCCTATATCTTATTCTAAATCGCTCTTAAAACTACCAATTAAAAAGCTAGAAAGACTAAATGAGCAGCATGCACTACTCTGTAATCACCAGAATTTTAAATCTTGGTGACCCTAGTATCTATACAATACAAGACTATGATAGGACATAAATAACAAATCCTTATGTGTATTAAATAGACAAATAGGTTTATTATTAATGTAATGTAACTTCCAAATGAAAAAGAAAACTATGGAAACAGCTAACAGTTCAGAAAGTTGTTTACAATCAGGAAAAATATCTGAATATCATAAGTTATATAATATGATATACCCTTATAGGCTAGGGTAATTTTACATTGGTTTTTAGAGGAACCGGACACCATCTAGAATTCCTTGTGACAACCCAAACAGTACGGCTCAATTCTGATTGCATGAGAGCCAGACACTATCCAGGCTAAAAATTTATAATCCGAACAGTACAGCTGAACCCCGCTTCACAAGAAAGTCAGATACCATATAGTCTCAATCCTGTAGCGCAACCATACAGGTACACAGCACCCAGATAGACCATCAATATCATAAACTAACCAAATAATAAATATGTATTGTAAACATATTATTTGATGGTGCTCCCAAGTTCTCTATTTTGATTTATTTTACCATTTACTATAGTTCGTGAACAACATAATATTCATGATCATAGATCATTTTTAACAAACAGAATATCCACAAAGAACCCCTTCTGATATTAATCAACATACGCTCACTAGCGACTTGCTTCAATAGGTATTTTCTGGAGTTCTAGTGAGAAGCAGTGACCAGTAGAGTACAACTGGGTTTGTTGTGATATAGTAACTCACTGAAGACAGTGGTGAATGTGTCGATCAATTTAATGGATTAGTTGAAGTTAGACATTAACATTATTGAATGTCGGTCAGCTCAGTGGTCTAGAGGTCCTTGGTTAGAATCTCGCGAGACGAAATCGTGGATGCGCACTGTTGAGAAGTCCCAAAGTAGGACAAAACGGCCGTCCAATGCTTTCAGCTTTCTAGCTTCAATTAACTCATGATCTCAAGTATTAGAAAAAAACAGAATAACATTTGTTGAATGAACCAGATACTATTGATTTACAATCAACAGTTTCAGTTATTGCAGATCTTTCTATTAGAAAATAATCTTCATCCATTTTCTTCTTACGATTTTCACCTATTAAATGTTTACTCTATAGTGTGGCGTCGAGTCGCGGTTGACTATGATCACTACTACAGAAAGACTACGTGCCAGTTAACCGATAAGATCCCCTGTAGGCCAAATACCAGATGGCAGTTGATGGCCGTAGTCGAGATGTATTTATTGGCGATCTCGTGGTATCGAAAGAATACCGAGATCGTGCCAGGTTACAAGTGAGGTTATTAAGCGTAACCGAATTCGTGCAAGGTCACAATCAATGGAGGAAAGAATGTCTTTAGTAAAGTTAAACAAACAAGTACAGTAAAACAATCACTGGTACAAATGGTTATAATAATAATTGTTTCCATTAAACCAGTCTCTTTCTCTTGATAAAAGTAGGTCACTACAACTCTTTCCTGTTTCTTTCTTTTTTGAAAAAAAATCCATTTTAGCTTGAAAATGCAGTGAATCAATTGAACAATGTACGACAATATTGTTCTGAACTTGAACAACGTATCAATGAAATGTCACAACGATTAAATATGGCAGAATCACATGTAAATACATAAGGAAATGTTGTTGTTTTTTCTTTCTTAAAGGTCTTGCATAATGATTTATACTTATATGCATTTGTTAAGCTGTTAGACAGCTTAGATCATATTAGATAGAATGAGTTTGTAATTTTCAATTGAATCCTAAGACAAGTTAGTAATATGATGAGTTTATCGGCAGTACTTTTCTTGCTATGGTGATGTTTACTGTAGCTTGAGCAATATTACGCTTATTTGACTGATCACCAGATCAGCAAGACTATAATTTATGGACGAACCAATCAGATATGTTTGAGCCATTTCAAGGTCATGGCACTTATTTCAGTGCCCGATGCTCACGTACGATCGGTTTACAGCGGATTTTAGAGAAGACATTATAATTTAGCGGCTACAACATATGGGACTACCAAGAAGTTTCTTTATTTGTGACGGCGGTAATCAAATGACTGCTGTACTATGCGCATTCTACCGTGATGAGGTTGTCTTTCGATGTTTTTTATGTTGGAGGGAAAGGTCTGCTAACACAGGAACTTTTTTAGTACGATCCAGATTGATACTAAGGCGAATCATCATAATTGTTGTGAATTGGATAGTAGAAGCACCAATCACACTAGCTGCAATCATTGCAGATGTTACTGAAGCTTCGACAGAACAATGTACGAGTATTGTCGTGATATATGTGCAATAAAAATGACAGACACAATCGAGTCATTTGGAGGAGTTGGGAGAACCGTTGAAATAGACGAAATACTAGTTCGGAAACGAAAATTTAACAGAGAACGTAGTATTAAAGAAGGCTGGGTAAGTAGCACTTCCATAAATATACCTCACAGGTCTTTGAAATATACGATATGTTATCCGGAAAAAGACACTTCCAACGGGTTAGAAACCGCTTCGGTTTGGGCACCCGGGCAGTATCCCAGCCTTCATATAAATCGAATGATTTATATGGCGTATATCTATTTGGTACCTTCCTGCGTGTTTACGGTTACAAACCGACATGCAACGACAATAATACCAATTATACGGGAATATGTGCAGCTAGGCAGTACAATACATAAAGATGATTGGAGAGCGTATAGATACCTACGTAGACCTGGTTATGTGTATCATGTCGTTATTCACAAGTGCAATTTTGTTGATCCTACAGCCGGAATTCACACTAACAATATTGAAGGTATATAGTTGAGGTTAAAAGAGTTTTTGCGACCTTATCATGACTCAAGAGGCCATTTATTATGAAGCCATATTGGTGATTTCCTCTACCGTATGCATTACGATTTTAGAACCTCTGAACCTCCTTCTAACTTTGATACGTTTTTTGAACCATGTAAAAGAATTGTATCTACGTTAATTCTTTGGTTTTATATAATATATTTTTGCTCTATGCTAACTGCTTTCTGATTGGGTAATATCATTCAAAGTCATTCAGGATTCGTTCAAAGGTCGTTCATAAATTATAGTCTTGCGCTGATGGGTATCTAGAATCTCGATGAAACTGAATCTGCCTGTATTATTCGAAATCCTGTCACCCATTTTCCCGTTTTTAGGCGTCAGCACAGATTTATTCAGAACATAGAGAAAGTTTGTTCATTCAACATACCAAGCACACCCTAATGATAAACGCCAACTAACACGAAACCTAAATCCAAGATTTCCTGTCAACTAACTTCAAACATCGAATAGTAAAGATTCTTTTAGTCACTGGTATAATTATCTAAAGTATTTCTTTTCACAAAACATGTTGTTCACCAGTAACCTTATAGAGGTATTTGAAAAGTCTTATTCTTTTAGAATTTTATATCAATAAAAAAGGCTAAATGATTAAGCTATTCAGATCCGAAAATGCAACAACTTCAAAATCTTTCGTAGGGGAACAAGCCTTGAAAAGAAGTTAATCTGTTCTGATCAAGTAGATTCAGCGATTTCTATAATCAAATGTAGGTTAGATTTCATCACCGGTCGATTTTGACACAACATTAAAATGGATATTCCGTTAATTTGTTTAGGATCTTCAGATATTAGTTTGTTTACAGACTAATTCAATAACTTGAAGAGGTTACGATATCAGACGAATCAGACAGCATGTTCTTTCGTGTATCATATCCAAAATAAAACAAGGAGATAGGAAGAGGATAAGAAGTGAAATCATTAATATATTTAATTATAGACACAAAACGATCAATATGAGATTACTAAGGAGATTATCTGGGGATGATAATGGAGCATCTCAAATGATCACTATCCCCTCTTTGACTTAAACATTCATCTTTGCATAAAACTGAAAGAAATTTCTAAACCATAAATAAATAATGTTTAATTCAAAATAAATAAAATTATGAAATGAACATATGCTCATTAGTGACTGACTTCAACAGGTATTTCCTGGAGTTCTAGTGAGAAGCAGTGATCAGTGGAGTTCAACCGGGTCTGTTGTGAGATAATAGTAACTCACTGATGACAATGATGGATATTTCAATCAATTTCGTGGATTGATTGAAATTAGTCATTAACACCGTTGGATGCTGGCCAGCTCCGTGGACTAGTGGTTAAGCGTTCGTGTGCGTCCTGTGTCCGAATCCCGCGAGTCAGGATCGTGGATGCGCACTGCTGAGGAGTCCTAAGATAGTAAGAAACGGCCATCCAGTGCATCCAATTTTTGCAGAGTGTTCTAGCTTCAATTGACTCATGATTTTAACTATTGAAATGAAATATTCCTTATAAATAAATTTACTACCAGTTCTATTCATGAATAAATGAATAGTTTTTTTAATATAGTGGTTGGAGGTAGTCAACAAGAAACCATGGACCCGGGTTTCGTGCTATTTGGCACTCGCTAGCAAGGTGTACCTGTAATCGTTAGGGAACTGGTGCTCCTTGATGGATTCATAATATGATAGTATTATGTTGTTACTTCTCATCACTTAACGTTGTTTTTTTTTTAAATTTTCACAAAAGACTCAACAACAAGCAGATGAATTAAAGCGTTGTCAACAATTAGAATTTGAATGTAATCAATTACGTAATGAAATAAAGGCTAGTCGCAATGAAGTGAGTTGACTTATTGTAATGATCTGTATTTAGTTTCATGATATTTATGATGTGTTTTTAATGGCTCTATATCTGACTACAATTGGATAGTATCAATGTTATTAAAATATACATGTTTTCTATCGTCGTATATATTTATCGACTTGACTCGCGCTAGTTTATGACGGAATTGAAATAAGTCTGAGAAATGAGGCGAAGAGAAGATAGCGAAGCGAGATGACGCGCAGTGGAGAACGCATGTAAGCCTTAATCATTATTTATAGTTATACAAAAATAAGCTATGGAATAAGAATGTTAACACATATACACTCATATAAAAACAGTCGGGGTTAATAAGTGAACAGTTAGGAAGGTCAAAACGTGACTCAAGAAGAATGGATAAACTGACCTGTCCAGAAGCCTAGAATAAGGTATATGAGCTTGACATAGCAACCGTTGCTACATGTTTAAATATCATTAGAGTAATTTGACAGTGAGCTTCAGTTCTTCCAAGTTCGTGAATGACAACATGTGTTAAGTTCAATCCCAGATCATTCAGCAGTGATTCGTAAAATATCAGTAAGCAGTATCATATTTCAATCCTGAATATATATATATTTGAAAATAACTATAACATGAAGGTTAAATTCACTTGGTATTGTTTACATGAATCTTCCCATTGATGTTTAAGACTGTAATTGATCAGTCTCTTATTGACACATGTACATACTGTGTATGTGTGAGTAAACATCAACTATGATGTGCAGATAAATCCGGCTGACGAGCCTGAAATAGGAAGAAACGCGCGTTATGGATTTCACTGCTAGTCACTATCCATCTTCACTTATAACATGAAGGGTTTATAATTTTTTTCTAATTGTTCAATACAAACTTTGTTTCTATTCGGTGAATATGTCAATGTTGATATCATAATTAATACGATTCTAAGAAAATCTTACAACTAAATAGGTTTAATCCAAAACTGTGGTTAACTAAACAAAATATACTGAATTTAATATTACTTGAGTTAAAGCATAAAACAAATATTTCAGTGAAGAATACGTTCTTAACCATTCCATTATCAAACAATCTACAATTGAGACAATGGATATGGACAAATTAGTATGTTGATTAGCACGTATTGATCTAGTAGATGGAATTAGCACTAGTGAATAAAGTAACAATCTAAGTGTGGAGTGCTTGAAGGTGGTGGTCACCAAAGAAGTCACATGAAAACGAAACAATTTATAAACTCTAGAAAGTATTAAATATTACGAAAGCTCAAGTGAATTTGTATTACTTCCAACCCATTCTGTTACAATATTATTCAATTGGTGATATTTTGTGACTACAATTCTCTTGTAGTTACACTTAGGTAACTTGTGGTTTAACAGAAATATTTGTAGGAATCTACTTGACTACATAATTTGCTCGACCATTATTAAACTACTCAAAACAAAAAATAGTAGTTTGCATTATAAAGTATATATAATTTTATTCACTTGGTATTGTTTGGATTTAATCTTCCCATTGAGGTTTAGGACTGCAATTGATCAGTCTGTTATTGGCATATGTGTATATTGTGCGTATGCCTCGATATTTCTTTAATTCACAAGCCTTTTGTAAGCAATGATGGATAGTGGCTAGCAGTGGAATCCAGGACGTGCGTTTCGTCCTCAATAGGAAGATACAGGCCAAACAATACCAAGTGAATTTAAATTCACCCCATTACACAAGCAAGTGGCTATTAGGACTCAGTAGCTGAGTGGATAACACGATGGCATTTGAAACGAACTGTACTGGCTTCGATTTCCAGAGTGAACATCAACTCTGAGATGCAGGTACATCCAGCTGACGAGTCCCAAATAGGACGTAACGCGCATCCTGGTTTCCATTGCTAACCACTATTCATCATTGCTTACAAAAAATATATGTAATTTTGGTTTCATTTCATTCATTGCTTTATTGTGCATAATTGTTTATCAGGTACAACACTTACAATTACAATTAGATCAATTAAATAGAGAATATCAAAATCAAGGAAGAAGAATAGAACAAATGACTATTGAATTAAGTACATCACAAGCGAATACAAATCAAATGAAACAAGAATTACAATTATATAAAGAACGTAATAAAGAACTTGAAATAAAAATTACTGATACACATGAAACAATAAAAGAATCAGAAACTGAAACATTGAATATTTTACGTGCGGAATTAAAAGATTCTCAAGTGATTAAACAACGACTTGAAGAAAGAATAAATTCATTACAAGAAGATTTAAGGCATACACAACAAGAATTAGATGAAAAAACTAGAGCATTAGATGTATTGGAAAATACTCATGTAAGTTTCTTTTTTGGGTGATTTGTAAGTGATATACTTAATAGTAAACTGACATGTTAAATAATCGTCTATCTTTGAAGTAGTTCACATTACTAATCCTTAAATAAGCTATTGTAGATCACCAACGTTGATGATCTCTATCAACTGATTAAAGGCCTACTGTAATTGGACGGGAATGATGTAATAAATTAGCTAACTTTGAACTCATACCTTGAAGTCAGCATTTAATGTAGATTACGTTTTTGTCATATCAAAATACAATGGCTGTTTTGAAAACCGTATAACACAAAGGACGTTATTACATAAATATATGAGCGAGAATGAGTACAAAGAAGATGGTGAATATGGTGCCGCCTATGACCAGTTTATTGAAGGCACATAGGTTTGCAAATCTCTCACTATTTTCGTTTCTTTCTCCCAGTCCGTGTCGTCCCATGATGTCTTCATATCCAGTGTTGTCCGTTTCAACCTCGGCATTGAAATATCCCATCAGAATGGTCAGGTCCTTTGTTGGGCACTTCTCGACGATTGACTGCAGCCTATTGTAGAATTGATCTTTAGCGTCTTCAATGTAGTCGTTGGTAGGCTCATAGCATTGAATGATGTTCATTGAAATGCCCTCTTCTTTTGTTTTGAACGAGGCTTTGATGATCCTTGGTCCATGAGATTCCCATGCTATAAGCTCATTTTGCGCTCGTTTGGACAGCATCAATGCAACTCCTTGTGTATGTGGTGCATTTTCTTCTTCATGTCCGGAGTATAACAGGAGCTCTCCTGTATTTAGTCGTTGTTGTCCAACTTGTGTCCAATGTGTTTCACTGATCCCAAGTACCTCTAGGTTGTATCTTCTCATTTCTGCAGCAATTTGGAAGGCTCTCCCGGTGTCCCACATTGTACAAAAATTCCATGTACTTAAATAAATGGTCGCTTTGGTTGTCAGAAGGGGCATCGGCCTCGTAACTTCCTAAGGAGTTCGGCTTTCATCATGAGGCGTCATAGTTCTTCTAAATGAAGACCTTCTGACTCCCAGGGCAGAGTTTAAAAGGTTTGAATAAGTTTTTCTGGTTAGCGTTTTTTTAGCGACTTAGTTTTCTACGGCATGGGGACGCTAACCCCATGCCTAACCCTCCTATTTTAGCCGGGCTTAGGACCGGCAGTAGCCCCCGGAGGGACTCCAGGTGGAGTTAATAAAACTTTAACAGGAGAATATTAATAACCTGAAAGCTTTCTCATGAATTTGAATAATGACCGATTTTCGAATTTGGCGGGGACTTATTCAGTTTAAAATCAAACAAAACTATACGGTTTATTTGTATTCGACTGATTAACCTGGTGTAGTAAACAAGGTCGTTCAGAAAATAAATGGCGGGTTCTATTGACTTTCCAAATTATGTGGCGTATATCATGTAAATACATGAATTGGTCATGATCATTCGATTTATGTATTTACTTGATAAAAATGCTCACAATCATGATAATTAACATGTAAGTTGTTCTTACGAGAATAAGATTTTGTATATCACATTACAAATTGAGTTTAGTTAAGAAGCCAAGGAGCATAGGATAGTTGTTAAGTCGTCATGTAAGGAGTTTCGGTAATCTACATAAACAACTTCTCCAGTTATTAAATACAGGGTGTTCATCTCTTTGACATACACGTTACCTTTTAATCACTATCCTATTGTCCTATTGCATCATGACTAAACTCTCTTCATTACGACTTCAATAGTTGTTAACTGCAAGTTAAAAAAACGTCTACAATTCTTCTATGCTAACGAAATCTTTATAATTTTTTATTTCAGCTTCGAAATCAATCTGAAGAAATAATCAATTTGCAGAAAGAGCTAAACAATGCACGTGTACAAATTGAAGAGCTTGGAGGTCCTATCGAACCAGGTTCTAAATTGAAAGGATCAGTGAGTAGTTATATTTGTCAAATAGTTTTCTTTTTACAAATCTATAACAAATGTAAGATAGATGATTAACAACACTGAATGAATTTTAAATCCGCAATTTTATGGATTGTATATATAATGTGATGAGATTATTAGCAGAGTGTTTTATATGGGATTATTCAACGTTTATTCTTCATTACGTCACCTATGGCGCAGGCGAGATATCTGTCTATCAATTAAGGGACAAGTATAGTGCACGGCAGTCCGTTCTGTTTTAATTTACGGCAGCGAAACATGGCCTTTAAGAGTAGAAGATACTCATAAGCTACTTGTACTCGTCCACAGATGCCTTAAAAATATCGCTGGCGTCTGCTGGGATCACCGGGTAAGTAATAGTGAGGTTAGACGTAGGGTATTAGGGAATGATAGTAAATCAGTTGATGAGGTTGTGAATCTTCATCGACTGAGGTGATTCGGCCACGTGTTACGTATGCCTGAACACCGATTACCACGACGCGCAATGCTAACCGGCGTTCGGGATGGTTGACAGAAAGTTAGGGGGGCGGCCAAACCAAAACGTGGCATCAGTGCTTGAAGTCACTTACTTTTCGTCTGAGTCATGTTGGTAGATGCAGACTACTTGGTTGGGTTCCGCGTGACTATCGTAACCAATGGTTGGAGACACTTGGTGATATGGTTCAGAATCGATCACAATGGCGTAGGTTTATACATGCTCTGTCTTCCCCTAAACTATGAGATTAAAATCACTTTATATCTTTCTTTCTACGAACTAAATCATTCTTCCTATTCTATATCCTTATATACAATCTTTCTTTTATATATTACCACCATTGACTTAACCACTCCTACGAATCCGATGTTCATCTTGTTGCGCTAATGAGGTGTGGCAACTTGTACCGATGCATATATGTGCCTGTTCGTACATTGTAGCTGACTGATTGACTGATTGACTGACTGACTGAGTTATTACAAGTTATTCTTGCCTAAAGAATCATAGAACTCTTCTTGGAATCCTACTTGGATTACTGCCAGCATGTGGGTAACAACCCCATTCTATGAAAGTGCACTCTTCTAAGAAACTCTAACCAATCATAAGAAACTAAGAAGAATTATGATTATGATTATTATACAATGAAACATCTTGTATACAGTTATATTTTACAATAATGATAAGTTCATTCTATGTTTTATTATACTATTTGTATTATATTCCATCTATTCAAATAGCCTCTAAAAGTGGAAATTGATACATTGAAAAAAGAAATTAGTAAACGTGAAGATGCAATTAATCGTATAGAAAAAGAATGTGTAGGTTATTTTCTTATGTATATATGTATTGAATATTCGTTTTATAACATGGATCAGTATGTTTTGTCGTCATCGTAGTCGTCATCATTGTCGTCGTCATCGTTGTTGTTGTTGTTGGTGGTGGTGGTGAAAGTCATGAATGTTCCAACCTAAGAACTGTATTATTCATTATTATCATTTATAATTTAAACAATGAAAAATCTCTTTTTCAGTATCATCATCATCGTGAAAATGATTTGGTAGCTAATTAGTATGTATGTTAGTAGACAATTAGTAAAATATAAGGGAGGTATCTCATATTTACTGATGAAATAGATTTGAAAAAACGAGTCATTGTGCTGACTTGAGAATCTATAGAAATATTGGGATCTAAATGTGTAAAGATATAACAATTACGTGCTTACTTACTTACTTACTTACTCACTTACGTCTGTTACTCCCCCAGTGGAGGATAGGCCACCGACCAGCATTCTCCAACACACTCTGTCCTCAGCCTTCCTTTCTAGTCCTATCCAATTGTTGATCATTCTTTCCATGTCTGTCTCTATTTCTTGGCGTAATGCGTTGTTTGGTCTTTCTCTTCTTCTTTGACCTTGAGGATTCTAAATGAGGGATTGCCTTGTGACGCAGTTGGGTAAAGATGTGATAATAATAATAATAATAATAATAATAATAGTTATTATTATTATTATAAGCGAAGACGGATAGTGGCTAGCAGTGGAATCGAAAATGCACGTTTCGTTCTATTTGAGAATCGTCAGCTGGATGTACCTGCATCTCATAGTTGATGTTCATTCTCGTACCCGAACTCAGTACAGTTCATTTTAATTCTTTTCTTTGAATACCGTCATCTCTTGTCTACTATCGTATAACATAGTGTTTTTAGCCATTTTACACCATTTTTTGAATATTCAGTTATGATAAGCTCATGGAAATTCATTATAATGTAAGTTAGCATGGCTGTATATTATTAGCATTTAGTAACCTTTAAATTACTTTCTCTACTTTGATTGGTTTGTCGTCATGATGACTAGCTATGATACGTATATATGATGAATTTATAAAACACAATTTTTCATTAGTACACTATACAGCATGTTTGTGAATTGAATGAATGGCAATGAATTTGAATGCATGCAAAAAAAACGGCGGCCTGCTTGAATATCTGGGCTACCTGTTTCTGTCATCTAATTATTTCAACAAGTTATCTGCTTTTTTCATTTTGTTTTAACTTCTCATTATGTCCATTAATCGCATAACCTATACAGGCACGTTTATGAAAAGCCTACGACATTGGCTGCAAAAGTTACAAAACAGTACTATAAAAGACATCGTGGTGGTTGGTAATATGCATTGAAGAGAATGAACATTAATCGTATGTCGACTCCCGAGCTGCTAAATTCTAACTGTCGATCACTAATCAACAAAGTGGACTATCTGCAATTCCTACCAAGTCAAAATATGTATCGTAATTGTGATGTCATCACAATTCATGAATCTTGGTTAAATGATTTACAGGACGACTGTCTAGTATCACTACGTGATTTCAAAATTTATCGTCAGGATCGACCAAACAATAAAAAGAGGTGTGGCGGCGGTGAAGCTACGTTTGTAAACGTGAACTGGTGTCGATCTTCGTTTGCGTGTTTCAAGCTTTCAAATGACTTTATCGACTGTCTAACTCTAAGATGTCGTCCAAAACATCTGAACAAATACAAATATGTTTATGTTACCAATATCTACGTGACTCCAGACTGCACGTCATCTGCGTTATCTGTTTTCGCTGATGAGTTCACTGAGTTCGCTGTTACCGCCTTCAGTGATTCACTTTCAGTTGTATGTGGTGATTTCAATTCATGTGACTGTATCTTCCCTACGTCATTAGGTCACCAAAATGTAGTAGATTTTCCTACCCGTTTGGATGCTCATTTAGACTTCGTTTTCATTAATGATGTGTGTATATATGCGACTAGTAAACGTGCTCCATTGTCTTGCTCGGATCACAGTATAATTCGTGTTCTACCTAAAGTATATGGAAAGTATGGGAAGAGTACACTGTTACATCAAACCAAGAAAGTCCAATATAGGAATTACTCAGACGAAAACATCCAAAATCTGAAAAACATATTTCATACGACTAACTGAGAATTATTTACAGATGACTCACTGGAAATCACTACTGATGTTATCACCTGCTACGTTAAATTCTGTTTTGATATTTGTTGTCTCACTGAAACAATTTCTGTGAGTTTTGATCAACTTACATCTTCACAACTAAAACGACTACGAAGGATAAAAGAAAGAATGTACAAGGAGAAGAACTCCAACGAAGTTCGTAAGCTAAATGGTTTGATAAACCTAGAGATTAGACATCTCAACTGCATGTTTACTCAAAAACTCTTATCTTGCAAAATCTCTCCAAGTATGTGGAAACTCTTTAAAGAACTCATAATAATAATAATAATTATTATTATTACAAATTAGACCATAATGATGAATTAACCTTAATACTTAAGTTATTCAAATGAATTTATTTTTATTTTATTATTGTTATACATTTTATTGATTAGCAAGAAAAGCATATACATCGTATTGAAGCAATGCAATCACAATTACGTCGATTTGAAGAAGAAACTGCTAATTTAAATCAAGTTTTAGATGAACAAAGAGTTGGATTAGAAGAAAGAGATCGTGTTATTCGACAATTACGATCGGATCAAGTAAAAAATACAACTTTTGAATAATAACATTTTATAAACAAAAATGACTAGTGGCTAGCAGTAGAATCTCCAGTTTGACACACGTTTCATCCTATTTGGGACTGGTCAGCTGGATGTACCTGCATCTCAGAGTCGTTGTTCACTATGGGACTCGAACCTAGTACCATTAACCTTAAACGCCATCGTGTTATCCACTTAGCTACTGAGTCCTGATAGCCACTTGCTTTTACAATGGGATGAAACGCTCATCCTGGATTCCATTGATAGCCACTATCCATCGTTGCTTATAAAAGCTTATGAATTAAGGCAATATCAAGGCATACGCCTAATATGCACATATGCCAATAACAGACTGATCAATTGCAGTCTTAAAACCTCAATGAGAAGATACAAGCCAAACAATACCAAGTGAATAACATCATGTTTCATTTCTGAATTGTTTGGAAGTACTTTACAAAGGTTTCATGCTAGTTAGGATTCATCAAAAAATCATACTTAAAGTATTGATGTTATTGATAATTCTTGTAAGATTTGAAACGAGAACACTCTAATTCACATACTGGGTTATTACCATTAAGTTATTTATCCCACAATTGACTTTCTATAAGATTAAATTGTTTACAACTGGTTAATAATTGTGTAGTGATTATTCTTACCTTTGTTTAGTCATTTAGCGTTAATTGAACTTAATCAATCAATCTTTAATTTAGATTTTATTGTCAGTTCTAAAAGTTGAATCATATTGTTTAGAATGGAACAGTTATCATTGGAAAGTATTGGATAATCACATTATCCAATGTCATTGTTAGGTCCCGATAAGCATAATGAATGGTAACTTTGGGATCCTTTTATGGACCAATACTATGCCTACATTTTTATCGTATAATTGTCAAATAACTAAACTATTCATATTCATGTTCCTGTTATCATAAACTTTATTTTGACCTATGAACTATTATTATATCATTTACCATTTTTGAATTTATGCCCTGTTTATCACTTACTATCTCCTACATTCACAGCCACATTTGGCCATATTTTGTACAAATATTATTTTCTATTTTATGCTACGTTGTGGTCTGTTTGATTGGTATATAAACTCAGTATGTTTGAAACATAACGATTCATATCGCAGAGCTTCAGATTGGTGTTCTGAACTTAACTGACTAGGCTAGGCGGAAAGCAGGATCAATCAAGGTTCTAGACTGCTCGCACATGTTTTACGCGTCCTTGGTCCGATCGATAAGTCACTGCTCTCTCATCGGCGGTCACAAGATATAACACTCATGTAAACTGATTTATTGTGAAATACTGATTTCCAATTCTATTGAAATGATGTTAACCACTTATAGAGAAATTCTTATAGATCACTTGTATCTGGAATTTATCCTGATTTTTTATTGTTTAGAAAGATAATGTTACTTACTTACTAACGCCCACCTGTTTAGTTGGTCTTCGATGTTGGTGATGTTAGCTTCATCATTTAAATCATCCATTTCAATGAACACTGTTGAAACAGCTTCATATCAAAATGATGTTTGTATTCAGTAGTATCAGCATAAAATCTAAAAGATGTTTCTTTAATATCAAATAGGTTTATCTGATTTTATTATTGTAAACTAAGAAATTTTCATCAGTACCTTCGTACATATATTTACACACTTTCTAATTATTGATTAAATAATATCCCATTTTATGGGAGAAATGAAATTAAGTATGTATCTTAAAAGGATAATTTAAGTCTAAAACTATTGAGAGGTCATCATCAGTTTATGTTATAACTTATGAGTTTATGCTCCTATCAATGTATAACGTGATGATACCGCCAATTAGAGAGCAGTGAATTATCGATTGGATCAAAACACGTACGAGCAACCTAGAGTCCTTATTGGTCCTGCTTCCTGCCTAGCCCAGCCTGTTAAGTCCAGAACACCGATCTTAAACTCTACAATATGAATCGTTTATTTCAAACATGCTGGGTTTATATACCAACCAGAGAGACCACATCGTACCATGAAATAGAAAACAACATTTGTTCAGGACGTAGCCAAATGTGGCTGTGAATAAAGGAGATAGTAATTAATAGACAAGGTATAACTCAAGAATGGTAAATCTTATAATAATAGTTCATAGGTCAAAATAAAACTCATAATAAGAGAAACACGAATATGAATAGTTTAGTTACATAACAATTATACAATAAAACTATACACATAGTATTAGTTCATAATTAGATCCCAACAGTTACCACTCATTATTCTCATCGGGTTATAACAGTTTAGTTTACAGATAAATGTTGATAGACACCCATAGATGTCATTTCTTAAGAGAGTTGATTCAACATATATCCTAAAATCATCAACACTATGATTGTTCTTCAACAATAATCATCTCATTTCTTTTAAACATTAAGGTTATCAACCTGAACAAAATGCCCGATATCTTATCTCTAGTATTATTGATTTGTTTTAATATCATAACTTTGAATTTTTATAATTCAGGGTTTATTATATTACCGTTTAATTAGAGGACAGCATTTGTTTGCTATCTAATCATTCTGAGGTGGTGGTGATCGATATTATGTATGTCAGATCCTACTTAGTGCAGATCAAATCCTATCGACCGAACTGCAATGTGGCCATCAGTCTAGGTTACTCGACATTGTGTGCACTATATTGAGATAAGATGGTGGTTGAAGGTAGTCAACAGAAAACCATGGACCTAGGTTTCGTGCTATTCTGACACTCGTCAGCAAGATGTATCTGTAATTTGATACTCCCTGACGGATTTAATCCTGTATCACCCAGCTTCACAGTCAGAGATGTTACCACTGGGCTATCCGGACCATGACTGACCTCCTGTAGGTATTTACAATTGATTGATCACTGGTTGGTGATAAATGTCATGTTATCCAAGTAATTCATCGCTCTTCCGATAAGTATCCAACCTTGAAAAAAGGTGCAGTATAACAGTTAAAACTCAGTTTTTCAATGGAATTACTTTTTAATGAGTTAAGTTGAAATGAAATTTTATTAGTTATAAATGATTGTTCTATTTTCCATAACTAATAGGCTCAAGGATCATTGATTGAACTTGAAAAATTAAAAGCTGAACATAATGGTTGTAAAGATAAAATTGAACAATTGAACAAACGTATTGCTACATTGAATAAACAAGTTGAAGATCAATCTGATGAAATTTTAACAATCAAGTAAGTATATGTACACATCTTTCTTTAAATAGTATGCTCATAATAATAAATATGTGAATTTATGAGTCAATTGAAGCTAGACCACCATGAAAAACCTGGAAGCACTGGATGGCTGTTTCGTCCTAGTATAGGACTTCTCAACAGTGTGCATCCACGAGCCTTCCTTACGAGATGCGTACCCAAAATCTGTCAGTACCGCCAGCGAACGCTTAACCACTAGACCATTGAGCTGGCCGGCGTCCAGCTGTGTTAATGTCTAGCTTCAACTAATCCACGAAGTTGCGCCACCGCCCACCATTGTCATCAGTGAGTTAATATCTCACAATAAACCCGCTCGAACTCCACTGGTTACGGCTTCTCATTAGAACTCCACGAAATACCTTTTTTTATATCCCAATGATTAGAAAAATTGTATTTCTGAGGACGTTTCGTGACACAATGTAAGCGACTTCTTCAGAGTAACTAAATAACCAAACATTACATTTACACAAGTTTAAATATTGCTGTGGTGTGTGCTACAGATGTCGAAAGATATAAATAGTATGCCTCATCAATAAAAAGTGAAATACCTGTAGGCAGAAGGTTAAGAAGATCAAAGAAAATAGGACGAGAACAAAGAACGATTGGTGTGGAAACAAAAGACTAATGAAGTCTGAGATGATTAACTGATATTTGCAAAAGAAACAATCAAGTTTGAGACAATTCGTTAACATTTTGCAAATGAAGTATTTACTGTATAGTTCTCAGATAGATTCAGTTGTCTCCACGTGTATTCTCGTTCACTACAGTTTAGTGGCCTTGAATCTGACGCCGGTTAGATCACGTGATTGATCATTATTGAGATATACATATATTTTTTACAATCATTGATCTCGACAGACAATCAAGTGAACGAAACGAAATGACGCGCAGTGGCGACAGTCGTTTCGTCCTAGCATGGGATTCCTGGGAAGTGCACATATACATATACATTGATTTTACTACTATTTTAATATCAATTATACCATTAACAATTCAAATTCATAATTAATGCTTCATATAGATTTTAATTGTTTATTCTCTGATGTATAATCATTTCAGACTGGAATCACTTACTGCTTCATTATGTGAAAAAGAAGCTAATATTGCTTTAATGGAATTGACTGCTCCAAAGAATACAACTTCTAATCAAGCTTTAGAAAAATTACGAATTGAACGGGATCAATTACAACAACAACAAAAACAACTTGTATGTCACTTGAATATTTATTTTTTGAAAATATTTCATTAATAATTTTAACTGATCACATTTAATCTAATGATTCAATACTATCACGGAATATAAACTGGAATTGTCTTGGATGAATTCCAGCAGTTTTAAGTATTTTCCAACTTTTATCTAATCGATCTGACATTCTAAAACATCTTTTATTGATGTTAGATGTTTATCGGCAGTCATTGGAACGTGTTGGAAGAATACTTGTCAATATGGTGTGTTTCTAATATTGATGGGACTGATGTTCACCACAGGATTAAAGCCTGTGCCGTCAACTAGGTATCACTGGATTATTCAGTCCTCGGTTGAATTTCTGTACGACTAAGATATCGAATCCTAGGATCATCGTAGACAAAATTGTATAGTCACTTGAATAATGACTACCGACTAATATTATGCATAGGTTCATCTAATTTGAAATTCATCTGTTTAGTCTAGTTGAAGGTTATATGGATTACTTGAATTATATAGAAATCTAATCTATCCATTGAGCAACAATATCCAGTGGTTTTCAAGCTACTATCGATAAGTACTCCTAGAGTAAAAAAAGTCACAGAACTGATGATGAAACATTTTCTCCAACTTATCAAAATGAACAACCATTAGTTTCACCGATACCTTCCATGACCACTCTTCGTCATCAATTGTTTACATACGTTTAAAAATGTCTTAAAACGTATATTATGTTGATAGCCTTAATCAACTTATTGACTACTCAGGATACTCTGCCTAGTTATGTAACCATTAACAATAAAAACCACGGTAGCATAATAGTCTTGATGTCATAAATAGTGTTTTACATGTAAATTTATTTTTTATCATAAGAGAAAACAATTAATTTCACACACAAGGAGTTGGGCTAGTTTGTGAGTTAGGGTTATAACCCTAACCCCCAACCAACTAATACCAGCGGTAATGCAAAGTTGTTAAGGTTAGGTAAAAGAAATTAATTAAGATTATGATTTAGGTTTTGATTATTTATCACGAACTGACATTAGCTCTAATGAAATATTGCTTTACTATCCTTTTGTTTCAAAACTTAAGAAACTTGTCGTTGATGTTAACAGTCAATAGGTAGTTAGATTGTGAGAATACTATCTAACTACATAAACACACTTGGCTACACATTGAATCAACTCAACATACAATCTTCATCAGCAGAAGAAATTTCTTGTAATCTAACTTGAAGACTACAGCATATTCACTGTCTGGTTGTAAAGCAGATATTTTTATTATTTTTTTAAAAGGCATTTTAGAGATCAACTATTGTCAATCTTTAATTTTATAATCAATATTGAGCTTTTAATTTCACACAGAAAAAAAAATAAACAAAAGAAACTCTTGTCCGGATTTTTATCACGCGACTTATCCACCAATCAGGATACGACTTCTACAAATCTTCACACTATGCCAACCAATGACGTTCAACCGGTACGAGCAGTTTAGCGTCCTTATTGGTCCTATGTCCTCCTAGCCCGTCCACTTGAGTCCAGAATACAATACCAGCTTCTGCAATATGAATCGAATGGAATCGTTAATTTCAGACATACTTGGTTTATATATCAATCAGACAGACCACAGCGTACCATAAAATAGGAGGCAGTAGTTAATAAACTGAACATAACTTAAGAACCGTAAATCGTACAATAATAAGTTATAGGTCAAAATAAAGCTTATAGTAAGGGGAATATAGATATACATAATCTAATTATTGAATTGTTATACAATAAGAATATTTATAGAATATTAGTCCATTAATAGTCCTTGGAAGTTACCCGTAATTTAATCTCGCTCGGATATAACAACTCTCTTAATCCTGATTGACTCATTAGGGACCGCCAGTACAATATAATTTTCCCAGAGTATCTATTAATGATCTAATGTTTCCTTTTTATTCCCGTATTATTTCTTTTAGAGTAATACACGTGCTATGCTTTTAGAAGAAAAAATGTCACGTCGATAATATCTTACTTGGTTCAAATAAATTTTATGAGTAAAATTACACGATTCGTACTATACTTTACAACTCAGTAATAAAACTATCCATCTCAGTAATCTGTTATCCTAACTATCTGTCTATCTATCCACACTATCTATCTATCTATCTATCTATCTATCTATCTATTATTGAGTCATTGACATTTTAATTATATTAAACATAGTTATATTGTTTAATTTCAAATTTCAATTTTTATTTAATTATTTTCGTCATTTATATTTTGATGATTTCCCTCTCATCTTTGTTTATTTCAGTCCCTTTTTTCTTTTTTTTTCTTTGTTATTTTCTTCGAATTTAAACTAAACGTGAATTGATATTTACTTATCATTTTTCTTTTTTGATTGTACAGATAATATCCCTTTTAATTCCTTATCATCATTATTCATATAATAATAGTATATATAACAAAGGTTTTATGTAGTCAAATATCTTAATAATTTTGTATTTAACACTTGAATATATACATACATATACATATTGAATGCATTTAAACAAATGTGATATCAATGTCCAATTATTATTATTATTGTCAAGGTTATAAATCCATGTCAGTATATCATTTGCATTATATGAATTATCTATTATTATTATTATTATTATTATTGCAGAGCCACTCTCTAATTTATAGTTATGTCGAATTACGAAATAAAGTTTAATATTTATAGTTTATCAGTTACATCATTTATGATCGATTTAACGGAACACTTGAACCGTTTAAAATAACTAAACTGATAATAATAACTTGATCAGTGCGTGATTTTTTTGTTTCAATTCTAATGATTTCAACCATATATATATATATATATATATATATATATATATATATATATATATATATATATATGCACAAGGGAAAAAAGCGAGGTCTTCAAATACAATAGGGAGTAGAACCAACGTAATCACATTTGGCGGAGTTCTAGAAAATGTTGAATCTTTCACGTACCTGGTTAGCATAATCGGTGAACAAGGAGGGTTCAATGCAGATGTAAAGAGAAGGACTGACAAAGAAAGGACAGCATTACTACAAATGAAGAACAGATGGAACTCGAAACAACTATCAATTAATATCAAAGTAATAATCTTCAATACGAACGTCAGGACAGTTTCCGCTCCATACAGTAGAACTATCTTGACGTTGGTATTAAAAATTATAACTTTGATATTAGTTGATAGTTGTTTCGAGTTTCATATGTTCTTCAATTACATGAGGCTGGTTTTTTCTCTTCCGCAGTAGGCTGTTACTGATGGTATCCGGCCAATGGATGTCCTTATCTTAATAAATCCATTTCCAAATTGTTACCACTCGTTTTTCTTATCAGTGATGCTAAAGATTTAAGTATTTATCCGCCAAATATTAAAGATCATCATCCGTATCCAAGCCTCCTATTAATGTTAAAGATGTGATCAATGAGGTTTTATACTGGATTTTCAGAGGTTCGTTTACTTAAAGTTGGATTTTCATAAACAGACCTCTGGATATCATTTCAGTGATCGTTCAGTAGCATATCCGTTGTAATAACAAGCGGCAGTTGTAAAGCTCTTTGAGATTTCGTAACATTATGTTAATTTGCCAGAAAGGATTGGTTTTGGAATGCTTTTTTCCACCAATTACATAATAGAAAGAGAAAATCCTTTGACTACGTGCAGCATGTTGAACTTTTACTGTAAATAATAAATAAGCTATCATAGTTAATGTTCAAGCATGCATTAAAGAAGTATTAGAAACCAAATCATTTGGAACTGTCAGATCATAGATTATTGTATGAAGCTGTGATTCATTCCCACTTATTTCTGTTTTCCATATCGTAGTGATTCATTCGTTAAAAAATAACTATTTTTACTTACTAGCCGAATCTCTGTTAAAAACATAAGCTGATCTCATCTATATATCAAACATTGTAAACGTCTAACATTTCACTAAGCTAACTGTCATCTCAGGTTCAATAAAAATCTTAATTGTCAAGACTAATTTATGGACGAACCAATCAAGTAAAAGATAACAGGCCCCGGATTTTGGCGCGGAATTCGCTCACCCATTTGGCTAAATGGCGTCTAGCCATTCTAGTAGATGTCAGCTCATGATGAGAACAATAAATATAATTCATAACCTTGACCATCAACTTTAAGTAATAACTCTAGTCCCTTACACTTGTTCATAACCCCAAATTTGGTCCTCGTTATTAGGTGAACACTCTCAAGGTCAGCCAAGTGTCGCTCAAAGTTCGTCCATAAATTATAGTCTCACCTTTTAATTTTATCATTTATGATATTCGGACACAGTAATTTATATTTTCTCCTCTACAAAAACATAGATAACCCTTTTCTTGTGATTATTATGGTAGGTGTATACATCGTAAACATACTAAAATTGACACTAGTGGAATAAATCAGTAGTAGGACGTCAATTCAAATTTGCGTAAGTGGATTAAATGAAACTCCATGTACAAACTATCGTGTTATACGCCAGAAAATAATTGAATCATAAGACTGTTTACCTATATTCGGTTTGTGATACACTTTTTAGAACGTTTGTTACTTCATCTCTCACTATCTGAAATTCTATTACTTTAATCATCATTAATTGGACTTACTGTTTTCGTGCATTATCATTCTGGTAAGGAATATCGTTTCCCACTTTTTATTCGTTTTTTTTAATTTTCTCGTCCTGTCTTCTATCATACTATTTAACTTGGTTGATGAAAGTCATTGATGTGGTCGGCCGTTTTTTCTCTTTCCTGATGAAAATGATACGCAGTATGATAGCTGTAAGAAATTTTTTAATAAAATCCACACCACTCTATCACCGACTGTGTATAAACTTTGCTGCAATCCACTTTCACCCTGGTTATGTAAAGAATACTGCCTGAATAAAGCAATTATCCTATACAAAGTTTCAAAACCTCTCATTCTGATCAGGTTGCGAAGTTCTGGTGCACTTTTAGTAATTCGGACATTGGGCCTGTAAGTGACTACTAGCACAATCATTAATAACGTCAATTCAGCACTAAGCCTGCATTAAAAGGTTTAGAATCCTTTTATCAACACAACTGAAGAGCGGAAAGTCTCCGGCTCAAGCCTTCGTTACGTGTAATCGTAATATGTTTAGTACTATCACAATAAAAAACTACCACCCATCTAAAGTTTGCCTAAAATAAATACTATCAGTAGGTTAAATACAGCCATACGGTGTGAAGAGAACAAAACTCATACAAAATAAATTAGATAGCACAGATGAATTGATTGGTCTAAAAATGCAAACAGAAACGACCATTCAATTGGAAGTATCACTAGTGAGTGGGAATAGAATACATTTAAAAATGACACAAGTATTCAATGTTCGCCGACGCCTTCACATGTGTACACGAAGTATAGCAACCCATTCATATCGTTAGTTCTATGTTCAAACCGACTATTGGCATTTTGGTCGTTACATTTAGTGCATGCAAACATCATACCGGCTTAAGGATGTCGTTAGGTTTAAGTAAATGTGGTGGACAGCTGTTTAGCTTCGTAGATTGACGACGTTAAAGAGCCCCATACTAAAACGAAACTATTATTGAACAACCCTCACATTCTCATCCCTGTAATCTGTCTGTTGGCCTTTTTAACCAAAATGTATCCTGGTGACCGCATGTAGTACAAATTTGACCGAGCAATTAAACATACCCTTTTTGTTCTGCTACAAATACTTAAACATCGTCAAGGATTTGTATCAATTCGCTCTGCTATCGTCTTTATTTTCTCCTTCCCTTTAACACCACGTATATATCAAGCAGCTATACATTTTCCTCTAACTAGGACCGTATTCCTAACGTACGCGTTTATTAAGGTCATAGCTTATACGAAGCAGCTTTTCTATGTCAATCTAAGATAAAGGGAAGCTTTTTTGGGTTGTTCGACTACTAGACTCCAGTTGCTTCTCAGACGATATTTCCTTTTGAACAATTAATAACAGAATTCTCATAATCTATTAGTGTAGTCTGTGTAATAGTCTGCTGGATTCGCACACTAAGCCCAATACCTTGTTGCACATTGCTGATCGTGCCGGCGAAAATGGTATGGAACAGCTGCATCAGAATATATAACAACTACAAATTCCTATTGTTATTGTCTATTTGTGACCGGCTTCGCGATCTAGACCACCGAACTCTACCCTACTCAGATGACCTGTAGATTTGGAAGGAAATAATCAGTGTATATAATAATATGTTAGCGTGTAGTACTGTATCACATTTACATGGATTACTCCGGCTTCTGGACAGGCCATCTGATCTATTTGTTTTGAGTCATAACCCACATCCACTTTGACCTTGTTGAATATCCGCTAATAACCGTGACTGTTTCTATATAAGCGTGTGTGTTCACCACCTTATTCATCACATAACTTTATCATTTTTCCGTCAGAACGTAAATAGTGGGTCACACTTTAACAAATCTGGTTCGTACAATGGCATTCTCTGCCTCTCATCTTTCGTTGTCCGTTTGCACGGAACAATGTGCGAAAATCCTTCACTTGTACTTTGGATTGCAACTGCTGCTTAAGAGTGGTTCGCCTTGGCAGAATGTACGAAACTAAATTGATACTTCACGTTCACAAATTGTTTGTCGTTCGTTCGCGATGGAGTCAGATAACGGGCTTGGGATGTTTTGACTCTACAATAATCCTCATACAGGATGCCGGCCTCCACTGATAGAAACCTTCATCTCAACACTGATGGATTCAGAATCTCACTGGAAGAAGTTACACCCTATCTATCAGGTACTCCCTGAAAAATCGCACGGCTACAGTTTCCAAAAACAAAACCCACCTGTGCATCTCTCCTTGTGATAGTCTGGGTGTATCTACTCAATGGTAATTTACAGTCAATAGAACATACTCACATCTGAGGTTTCATCCTACAAAAATTTACGGCATGACTCCAGAATCCTTCAGAACTGTTCTCAGTGTTTGCCTATGACTTCACGTAGAAAAGCACATTTGTTATGTTGCCTTTACTCATGAACGATATCGCTCACTTGCAACGGAAATTATGGAGAGAAACTAAAAAGCAGATCCTACTTAGTTCCTTTTCAAGTTCCAGACTTACATCTAGTTCAGTTTAGGAGAATTAATGAGGATACATCGATAATCTATCATACTTTTTGCAGCTCTCTCCACTCGAATAGACTACTGATATGTTTCAGTCAAAAGCAACTGATAAAAGGACATCCATTGGTTGTAGAACGCCAAAGAGCTTGTGCAAATGCCTACGCGATATCCAGATATACATCGGAGAGCATCAACAATTTGCTACTTTTGTCAGACACAGACAACGTTGAGCCTTTGGTTCTGAAAATTCTCTACAAAAAACATTTGAACTCATCGTCAACATGTTCACGAATGTTTGGCAAAATCGAAAACAAACGGAATGACTGACTAGAAGTTGAACAGCAATTGATAAATACCTTTGCAACGCCGAAAGACAACCCAGCTTCCTCGAAGATTGTAAGGAATAAGTAGAAGCAGACATTCAATCCAAATTATTAAAATGATAGACATATAAGATTTTTAAGAAAAACAAACTACGTAATTCAACAGTTCTGTTCGCTGCAATTGTTGGGACGATATTAAAAATACAAGTTAGTGTCCGACAACTAGTCCTCTAAAGTAAAAACAGTTCAGCCAAGCAACGAGATCCTCTTGAAGACCCTGACCACATATTCTAAAGCTAAGCTTGAATCTATACGGATCACACGAAATAAAACTGTCTATTCGACTTCCTACTACTGATGAGTGATTGAAGTTTAAGCATTGGAATTTGGTCATGTCTGCTGGCTTGAAACAAAACACATATAGTTATTGTAAGACTAAGAACTCCTGCAAAGTGTTGATAAGTAAGACTCAACAGTCATATAAAAACGATTGGTCAGGGATTGTAAGAATAGTCCGAAACAGTTATTCTCATATATATAAGCAAACTCCGTGAATTAATAAAATCCCACCACTTTCGGTGCGAGAAATCCGTTAGTATTGGCAAGAGATGATGCCGATAAACCTGAAGCCTTATCGGAATATTTTGGTAAAGTGTTTTCTACCAGCAATGAGGAATGACCAACAACTAATCATGATCTGGGCGTATTGTCAATGGATTCTGCCGTTGCTAGGAAAGATACTAACTTTAAACTAACTCAGCATCCCAACCCCTTTAGGGTATGAAAGGCCATTCGTAGTTCTTTGTAGTACCCAGACGAAGAAATGTTTAGTGCTATACCTATCTTTCATGAAGTCGCACTTGGAATATGGAATTCAAAAGGTGAGCCTTTGTTTCAAGTGTGAGGCGAACATTTTGGAACAATTTTGGTGGTTTTTTGTTTTCAGCTCAGAAAACAAAACACCACCACCTGAGCTACAAATCTTCTCCACCATTCTGGAACAAGCCCAACGACGAGGGACTAAAATGAAGACAGACTGAGACACCGCAAATTATTTCCATTATCTTACCACAGATTATGGGTTGATCTAATATTTACTTACCGTACAGTAAGCGATGACCCTGGTGTTATTACGTCTTATCTTTTCCTTCCGTCTAGGCCTGATCATTTGAGAGAACATCTTAAGAAATTTCAAAAACCGAGATCAAACCGTCTACGTCTAGAGTTTCGCTTCTCGCACAGAGTAGTGGAATTCTCTACCACAGCACGTAATATCAGCACCTTTTTTGGATGTCTACAGTGCTTCAGACTGCAAGGATTAATATAGGTCAATAGACCTCCTATCCTTACTACTGAAGACTGAAAGACTTTCAGCGCTTTGTATAAAAAAGTGCGCTACAGGGAAGGGTTGTTTGTGAGTATGATATTGTCGTTATTAATAATGGCTTGGTACAATCTAGAATTCTCAGCACAAGGTATTTCAACAAGTTTTCTTTACAAAAATAACAAAAAAGAAGGGAAAAAGGTTTTAAAAAATCTGCAAAGACTGTACAACTATCCAAATTAGAGACATGTCAAGAATGCAGGTTATTGACTAGGTTAACTCTAACAAATTGTAAAGTATTATGGGACTTCTATACTTTTGCTTGCTTGTATGGATTTTAATGTATTGACGTCTCGTTCTACCAGAAGTTATAGAGGGACCCGAGCTGCTAATTTTGGGAAAAATTTGGCCCATTTTGAAGAAGCCGCTATAGTAAATTTTGGGGAAAGAGCACAAAACCCCCAAAGTTTGGGGAAATCCTCAAAGTTGGGAGCTTGAGGAGAAAGATAGGATTAAAGTGGATAGTTAGTATCTAATAAAATAACACCTACCATGAGTTTGCATGACTTTAGATGTCTATCCACAACCATATTAATTATGACCTCGAAAGATTCATCACACACTTTGCTAACTGCCTTCAGTACTTTCGCAATACAGCAAAGCTTTTCGACGAGACTCTAATTTAGGTACGACCTTTGAACGAATCTTAATTGACCTTGACAATTATTAGCCAATCAGAAGACAGTATAAAGTGAAAATATATTTTTTAAGTAAGTCATGACTTACGGTGGATATTCTTCTTTTACATGAGGTTTGATAAAGGTTCAGAGGCTCTGAATTCATAATGCATATGGTATAGAAACTCGTCCATAGGGTTAGGGTGCTAACATGATATTGGTTAATAAACGGATTTTAGAGGTTAGGGTTAGGGTTGTAGCCTCTCCATAAACACCTCTTCTCTAAAATCCGATGTAAACCGATCTCATGTTAGCAGCCTGACCCTAACCCCATGCACGAGTTTCTATACCGTATGCATTATGAATTCAGAACTTCTGAGCATTTATCAAATCTTAACAAGTTTTTTAATCATGTAAAAGAAGAATATCCACTGTAATTCATTACTTTCTTGTAATATATTTTTACTTTATACTGTCTTCTGATATTCTAATAATTGAAATTGCTCAAACGCTTCTCACTAGCTCGTCCCTAAATTAGAGTCTCGCCGTCCCTCTCATTAATCACCTCTCTAAAATCCGCTGTGAATCGATCGTATGTTAGCATTGCGTGTTGAACTTAGCTCCGTTACCTTGAAATTACTCAAGCGCTTCTGATTGGCTCGTCTCTAAATTAGTCTCGCCCAATTGACAAATTGTAAGAGTAAATGACGAGTAAATAATTGTGCGCATTTATTGATCAGGATGAGAGACTTTAAGACGGTTGAAGTTATATAGAGCCATCTATGAACAAGTGATGGTAAAAATCAAATAAAAACAGTGGAACATAGATACATGGTACTACGTATATAATTAACCCGAGAAATCGGAATAAATAGATGATAAATGTTCCAGAAAGGCTCCTCTGCCTTCCATGTGTAAATAATGTGAACTTTCTTATTTTTACATTTTCGTTCTTAAAATGTCTGCGATTATTCGAATTTTTGCCTGTGTTTACCTATATTTTCATCATAAAGAAAACACCAAAACATGTGTCATTTACTATCGACTTGATTTAAAAAACCACATGACTAAAGTCATTTACTAATGGGAATTATCATAGTTTATATGGGGGTTATAACAGACAGATTGTCGAACAACAATTGGTACGTATTTTCATTGTACGTGCGAAGTTCTGCGGTAATTTACGCAGACCTGTAAAGGAAACTATGGGTATTACGTTATACATCAAGAATATCCTGATTTCCAATCGCATATTCAATCAAGCGCGCTCTCATAACAGACAATTAGTTGCGAAGTATCTCATGCAAGTAAGAAACTCAGTACATGGCAAGAGAAAGCTTTGTTAAAATTAAGTTGAACGCATAAATAAGTTTTAATCATAACGTCTTTCTTAAACTTAACTCTTTCGAATCAAAACGATCCTTCTGTGAATTCTAAAACTTGATAAATACAAACATTTACAACGATGTCTAACTGCCAGTCTCTTAAACAGTTGTCGACATGAAGTGAGATGGTAGTGTTCCATAATACTGAACACCTCACCTACAAAATAACAGTGAAAGGCTATCATTTTAAATTAGAACCTACGTGTTCTGTTTTCACCCCATGACGATTTTGTAGTTTGTCTTTCATATTGTGGAACCACCCTTGCGTCGCGATGTCAGTTTAGCAAGTTCTTTTTCGGTGACGGACGACGATAAGAATCGTGGTGTTTGTACGTTTAATGGTTAAAAAGAAAGAAATACTTTATCTGTTTCAAAACAAGCTTGCGGTAAAAGTCCATTGACAAAGTATGAAAAATAGTAGCCTACTTTTTTAAATAACCAAGTAGTCATTCCATTGTTTTCCTTTCCTTTAGCTTCCTCTATACTGACGTTCTAACTGAAAGGTGTCAGAATTTTCCCTTTACGTAACTGCAATCTGTTGTTTCCACAAATGCGATTAAAATCAGTTTCTACACAATTATATCGCTATTACACATCTAGTTTTTGGAAATTCTCCAACTATCCTAGTAGATGTTTGTATACATATCCGTCAAGTACTCGCAGAGTCCTTTGGACGTTGAACACAATCCAGCCTAAAATCTTTTGTTGTTCAGACACTGTAACTAATCCACAATCAACACTGCCAGCTGCTGTCACATCAGATAACTCTGAATTGTCAGATGTTCAAGATGAAATTAAAGGAAAGATGTACATTGAATTCACATGCAAGGTAATTGGACGCATAATATTTTTATCAGGAAATCTTTCCTCTTTAGAAGTGCGCTACTCGGTCAAGTAAATATTTTTCTAAGTTGGCTTATGAAAAAGGCATAGTTATTATTCGTTGTGACGGGTGCCAGAGTCTGCATCTAATTGCTGATAACCTGGGATGGATTAAAGACAAACATTGGTTGGTTGTTCTTTCACTTTATAAAGTTATTGTTATTAATTATAGGAAATTAGAGGATTGCGTAAAGGTTAATAAAAAAACAGTATGTATAGCTTAAATGGACATTTTAAGACAGAAACCACTGTGATCAAGTTGATTAAGCTTTACTTATGTACATCTGTAAGGTAAGTCTAAAGATAAGTTTTTTTTTAAATTTTACGATACTAGTTTATTTATTACGTTGAACTATAGTTTCGTAGTATGGAAACTCAACCTTGAGATCTTTCTAACGTTAGGCTACACTTTATCCATCATATAACCAATCCACTCATTATTATACACTTGCAGTATACCTCATATTTTAGTAGGAATTTATTTATTCAGGTTTAAAATATTGTTCTTTAGTTAATACCCAGTTTACGTCAAGAGTTAAGGATCAGTCAACATGGAATATCCTTTATAAGCACCGTAATTTTCGGGTCCACAATGTGAGCCGGCTCACTGCTTTCCTCTAAAACGCCCCCAAATGCCCTGGTATGGCCGAGGGTGGGGTGGGCCCGCCCTCCCTTTTCAAATGCTCTCACACGGCCACGCGTTTACAGCCTCTGCTAGGGAAGTCCTACTCACTGCCTTCTCGTGGCGGGGGTGTTGTTTACGAAAACGAGAGGACGAAAAGCGAATGTCTGGCACTTTAACCGGATCCCAAACCAATGGTGCACATGGGCTTCAGTATCCTGCGGGAACAAATGGCGTATGAACCAATAGTTGATCACCGGCTACCATGGGACTGCATCTTCTCACGATGCTCCACTGCCTTAAGGGTCAAACCCTTAGGTCCAAGGCTCGGGGTGTGGCCCCCTAATAAAACCACCTGCTTCGGTCTGGGCACCCGGGCATTATCACAGCCCACATACAAATATGATGAAGTGTCGATATTTATGAAAAATACTTGTCTTGTTTCGATTAACAATCAAACGATCCACATTATTATCATTATTATTATTATTATTATTATTATTATTATTATTATTATCATTATTATTATTTACCACGTCATTTATTCACTCTCTTTTATTCCCACTCTGTGTATCCTTACTTTTCGACTTATATAGCAGCTCGCCTATGGTGGAAACTCGGTTCTATCTAAACGTTCTCGAGTCACTGCCTGGTTGAGAATTGTATGCTACCACCAAATACGAATACTGAGGCAGTTTTTCTAAAACCACGTGCACCATTCAAACTGGCTGCCTTCAACGTTCGCACACTTATGCAGGTTGGACAACAGATAGGGCTGGCTATGTCTTTGGAAAGTCTTCATATCGATGTCTGCTGTCTATCCGAGACCCGTATTCAAGACTCTGGTGAAGTACTACAAATTCGCTCTCCATCTGTCGCTTCGAAAAGCTTGTTTTACGTGCGCTTATCCGGGGACCCTGTGGCATCTTCGCCCGGTTTTTCTGGCGTTGGTGTCGCACTAAGCGCTATAGCTGAGGCAGCACCAATCGATTGGATCCCCATTAACAGCCGGTTATGTACTGTTAGATTAGGAAGTTCTATCAAAGTGAGAAGAAATTGGCGTGAGAAACGATGTCTTTTCGTCATTTCCGCCTATGCCCCGACAGATTGCAGCCCAGATTCAATCATGGATGAATTCAACCACCAGTTATCAGTTCTTCTCCAGAAAGTGCGTTCGACAGATATTGTAGTACTAGCCGGAGACTTGAATGTTCAGGTTGGGTGTCAAGGCACAGAAAAGAGTCGTTTAGGTGGCCGATGGGGACTCGTTGGTCTCAGGACAGATAACGGGAACCGTCTACTGCAACTGTGCACAGACCACAACCTGTTTCTGGCCAGCACTAACTTTCGGCACAATCATCGCCGATGTGCCACCTGGCGTCCTCCTTCTGCATCCCAAGCCTGGACTCAGATTGATCACATCGCGATCAGCTACCGCTGGCGTGGTTGTGTACAAGACTACCGGTCCTTTTGTAGTACCTATCTGGACTCTGATCATGCCCTGGTCGGCGCCAATCTTACCTTACTTTTCAGTTGCCAACGAAGTGACCTTCACCAAAGGATTGATGTCAGCAAGTTGGTTGCAACTTCATGACGCCATTAAAATGGCGAGTAAAGCCGCTTGCGGCTTCGCGAAACGTCCCGCTTATAAGCACTGGGTTTCCTTAGGCTACTTACAACTCATCGAAGTCCGTCGGTCTACTCCGGGTGACCGTGAGTTCGACCACAAGCAAAGGCTGTTACGTAATGAAATCGGGCAAAGCTTGTGTAAGGACCGAGAAGCCTGGTGGTCGGAGCGTGCTAATGAGTTGGAAGCAGCAGCTGCATCTGGTAACTACCGGAAGCTCTTCCAACTCATCCGCGCCACTGGCAGCAAGAAGTCTGGTGTGGGCGAAACAATCTACGAGGATGATGGAATGCCAATTACTAACATCCATCGACGTCTTGGACGATGGGCAGAATTTTTCGAAGGGCAGGTCAACTGGCCTGCTGCTCCGGCAACATCAGTCAGACTGTCCTGCCCTCCATAACCGGTCACGACTGATCCACCAAATGAGGCGGAAGTCCTCAAGGAACTCCAACCCCTGAAGCGTTACAAATCACCTGGCCCAGATGACTTACCTCCAGCTCTTTTCAAAGATGGTGGTGACTTTCTGACTAAGGGACTGACGACGTTGTTTACAAAGGTGTGGGAGGTCGAGAGTGTTCCGACGTCATGGAATGAGTCGATAGTTGTCCCTATCTTTAAAAAGGGTTCACGTCGTTCCTGCAACAACTATCGGGGGATAAGTCTACTTCCGATTGCGTCCAAGCTATTGGCTTCCGTCATTCTTCGTAGGTTGTTCAAAACCCGAGAAAGATTGACTGGCGAGGAGCAGGCTGGGTTTCGTTCTGGTCGAGGATGTATTGATCATATCTTCACCCTCCGCCAAATGTTAGAACACCGCCATACTTATCAATAGTCAACAATCGTAGTGTTTCTTGACATCAGGGCTGCCTTCGATTCGTTGGACAGGACTGTTCTCTAGGATTGTCTATTAAGGAAGGGTGTGCCTGAGAATTTTATTAACATCCTAAGGGCCCTATATAAAAACACCTCAGGCAGAGTAAGGGCATACAACCACCTTTCTCCATTTTTCCATTCGAGCAGTGGCGTTAGGCAGGGTTGCCCAATCTCACCATCCCTCCTTAACTTTGCCATCGATGACATTCTGGAAACAGCTCTGATGGATGTAAGTAATGGCTGTGTAGACCTGTTGCCTGGAGAAAGACTTCTCGACCTTGAGTATGCGGATGATATTGTCTTACTGTGCGATAATGCCCATGGCATGCACTTAATCAGTTGGGAATCAGTGTTCGTAGGTATGGTATGTGCTTTGCACCTTCGAAGTGCAAAGTACTCCTACAAGACTGGCAGGATTCCAATCCTGTACTCACCCTGGATGGTAAGCAGATAGACGTAGTCGAGAAGTTCGTGTATCTGGGTAGCTGCATAAGTGCTGGTGGGGGTGTGAGTGATGAGATCAATGCACGCATAGTGAAAGCCAGAGCGGCTTGTGCCAATCTGGGCCATCTTTGGCGCCTTCATGCTGTTAGTCTGGTTGTAAAAGGTCGGATTTACAACGCGTCGGTGAGAGCAGTTTTGCTCTATGCTTGTGAAACCTGGCCTCTCCGAGCTGAAGATGTTAGACGACTTTGTGTTCGATCATCACTGTCTCCGAAGGATTGCTGACATCCAGTGGCAACACCATGTTAGTATTGCAGAGGTTCGGCACCGTGTGTTCGGGCACAGAGACGATAATGCGATTGGTGTCACCATCTTGAAACACCGACTTCGGTGGCTTGGACATGTTCTACGAATGTCGTCCCAGAGACTTCCATGTCGTGCATTATTTGACGACTCTGGGACTGGTTGGAAAAAGTGGAGATGGTCAGTGTATGATATAGTGTCGTAGTATGAAAGCTGCAAAGGGCTGAATTGTGTTGGTCCTGTTAAGGGTAATGTCCTCAATATCTGACTCCAAATAATAATATTCCGTAACTGAGTATTTTAGGTAGGCTTAATCTCCTAGTAGAATTGCGAATTTACTCGACATTATTAAAAAGCCTGAACACCAGTTATAGAGATAGTTTATTGTTAATGAATAATAATAATCCACAAGCGTACGGTGAGCAAGCACACGATGAAACAGAGGGAGTGAGTGTGTGTGTTTAAAACCCATATATATTTTTGAGAGTTAATCGGGTGTGGATAAATTATCGATTATCTGCACATTGAAACCAATAGGAGGATAGCTTAAGAGTTAATGTACAGACATACATTCGATCATACACACCGAAATTAACATAGTGAATTGAGTCTGAGTTAAAATGACTAGATAAATGATACAGTAGCCAAATGGGCTTGCCACAAGCTCCCATCCAGAACATTGATGTTTTTATGTACCAAAAAAAAATTGGATTAACATCTATGTTCGACAAAGAGATAAAGAACGGAACTGTTTTTAAAATGAAAGTACAACTCAATATGATGAGTAAGCGTAAAACTGTAATAACAGCTTGTGTGTTGAAACGTTTCATATCATGTATATACAAGTGTATATTTAACATTAATGAATTGTATAAAGTTAAAATGTAAGCATAATGATGATCCGTGGGGCCAATAAGAAAAATAGTAATCAAAATAAAGTAGGATTTTTATGTGTTATAAGAGTAGTCTCAGGATTTGGTCTAGATAAATATGGTGGTTGCTACATACCTATCTGGCCAATGTACTCTTCTTCCTGATCTTGTTGTAGTTTGTGCTGCTGCTGAATTTTGATTTGAAGTGTTGCTTGTTGCAGGTAGTTTGAATGGTGCTTGCTCTGCTGCAGGTTTAGACGATTTTACAGTTGTCTGTTTTTCAGTGTTCTCTAAAAATGCTGGTTTTACTCTATCGATGCTAACTGTATCATGTTTACCTGCTCTTTCCACTGTAACCGTTTTAGTGTCCTTTCGGATGATTTTAAAAGGGCCGTCGTAAGGAGTCTGTAACGGCTGTCGTACTCTATCATTTCTCACGAATACATGTGAGCATTTGTCTAGTTCGTTGGGTACGAATGATTTCACCTTTTGGGTTCGTGGTTTAACGGACCTAATGGATTCCATCTGCTGTTTTAATTGTTGTACGTAGTTGGTTATATCTGCTGGAATATCTGTTGCACGGTCAAAAAATTCACCAGGCAAACGTAATGTTGTTCCATAAACCAACTCAGCAGCACAACAACCGAGGTCTTGTTTGATGGTTGAGCGAATGCCTAATAGTATCAAAGGAAGCTTGATATCCCATTTGTAATCTCCTCGTGCGGCCGTCAAAGAGGCCTTTAACTGTCTATGGAATCTTTCTATCATTCCATTAGCAGACGGATGATAAGCAGTGGTTCTAATTCTCTTTATACCGGAAGTATCTGTAAGTTGCTGAAATAGTTTGCTTTCGAATTGCGTTCCACGGTCGGTCGTAATTGTTGTAGGGACACCGAAGTTTGTAATCCAGTGTTTCACCAGCTTCTTCGCCACTGTTGATGCTGACGTGTCTTTTAACGGAACAGCTATGGGCCATCTCGTAAATCTATCTATACATGTTAATATATGCGTGTAACCATTAGAAATCGGTAACGGTCCGACAATGTCGATATGAATATGGTCGAACCTAGCGCTAGCGGCGGGAAAAATTCCGGTAGGAGATATGATGTGCCTATGTACTTTTGACTTTTGGCATTGGACGCATTCCCGTGACCATTTTCTTACGTCTTTGTTTATTTTTGGCCATACAAATCTATCTGTGACAAGCTTTACAGTGGCTTTTATACCTGGATGAGATATATTGTGTAATTTCTCAAAAATATTTCGTCTCATACCGAAAGGTACAAAAGGGCGAGTTTTACCTGTTGAGGTATCACAAGTTAAGGTGTCCTTGTTGTTTATGGGGATGTTTTGGAATAATAATTTCGTTTCCTTAGACTGCAAAAGCTTTTGTAGCTCCGTATCGACCTTTTGATGCTTTGCCATTTCTTGATAGTCTATATCAGGGATCGAGAAGGTATTGATATTTAATCTCGATAGTGCATCTGCTGCCTCATTTGCATTGCCTTTAATATAGCGTATATCAGCTGCAAACTGTGAAATGAATTCTAGTTGACGAATTTCGCGCGGACTATATTTATCATGATTGTGCATCAAGGACTTAGTTAGGGGTTTGTGATCAATATATATCGTGAAAGAATTGCCTTCTAACATGTAGCGAAAGTGTTTGATGGCTAAGTAGATAGCCAACAGTTCTCTACCGAATGTGCTATATTTCGTTTGCGTTGCGTTCAGCTTTTTTGAGAAAAATGCAAGGGGTTGCCATTGTTCATTGACACGTTGCTGAAGTACAGCACCTACTGCTACGTTAGAAGCGTCGGTCATTATTGCTAAAGGTGCATCAACCTTTCGTCGTGCGAGTAATGCCTCTGTGCTTAAAGCGCTTTTCAACTGATCAAATGCTTGAATTGCTTGCGGTGTCATTGCTAATGATTTAGCTCGTCCCCTTAATAAATCAGTTAGTGGTTTTGCTAAGTCTGCACATTTAGGGATAAAACGTCTGTAAAAGTTGATCATCCCAAGGAAACGTCGTAGTTTCTTGAATGAATCAGGCAAAGGATAATTTTTGATAGCTTGTGTTTCCTCAGGAACTGGTTTAATGCCTTGCTTATCAAGTACGTGACCTAAAAAGGTGAGGGATTGTTTTCCGAACTCACATTTGTCAGGATTGACCGCTAACCCATACTCGTTTAGCTTCTCAAAAAGCATTTTCAGATGAGTTAGATGTTCATTTTCATCTTTGCTTGCTATAAGTAGGTCATCTATGTAAGCATACACAAACGGTAAGCCCCGTACCACTTGGTCAATAAAACGCTGGAAACTTTGTGCAGCATTCCTTAATCCGAAAGGCATGCGGACGAATTCGTATAGTCCAAAGGGGGTAGTAATGGCTGTTTTAGGAACATCGTCTGGATGAATTGGAATGTGATGGTAAGCACGGACGAGATCAATTTTTGAAAAGATCGACACGTCAGATAGGCTATGAGTGAAGTCATGCAGATGTGGGAGAGGATATCTATCTGGAATGGTCCGGCTGTTGAGAGCTCTATAGTCACCGCACGGTCTAACTTCGGAAGAGTTTTTCTTAGGTACCATATGAAGCGGTGATGCCCACGGACTATCGGAGGGGCGTATGATGCCCAACTCAATCATTTTGTTGAATTCGTTCTTTGCGATAGCCAGACGAGAGGGATCAAGGCGTCTTGGACGTGCGAACACAGGTGGACCCTCTGTCTTTATGTGGTGTACGACGGTATGCGTCGGTTTGTCGTGTTTGAAACTCGGTCGTAATAAATCTGGAAACTGATTAAGTAAATTGACGTATTTGTCGTTCTCATGATGAGGTTTAACTAATAAATGTATGGAAGTCTCATTTGATATAATTCCTCTAATTTCCTTACTCTGTTCGGCAAGGACAAGTTTCCTATTTCTGACATCTACCAGTATTTTGTGGAATTGCAGAAAATCAATGCCGATTATAGGAACGAGGACGTCCGCTATGATGAAACTCCAGGAAAAATTAGATTTAGGACCGAAATTTAATTGCAACCGCCTTTTGCCGTACGTCTTGATGTCAGACCTGTTTGCAGCTTGTAGTTTTAGTTTGGGGTCAGGTGTGTTTTTCTCGAGTGCAGTAGGTGGTACTACACTAACCTCTGCCCCAGTGTCGACTAAAAACTGTGTGCCGGTTCTTTTGTCTGTAACATATAATAGACGACTGTCTTGAAAGTTGTGGTCAGTGAGTGCAGTCATCATTAACCTACGGTCTTGACGTTCCTTTTTCTGTGTGCTTGCAAAGTTACAAGGCGGAGTACATTTTCTAGCTTGTTTGCCATATGTTCTATGGTACCAGCAAATGTTGTGTCTAGTAGTGCTTGGACTACGTCGTCTACGGCTTGTGGATGTTCCTCTACGCTTGCTGTGGGAGGCATTCAATAATTGGATCTGAGCTATCTGTTTGGTAAGGGTATCAACTGATCGTCGTAACTCGGCGATCTCGTCAGTTGAGCCTCATTGGATTTGAGATACAAGGTGAGTCTTGGACTGTTCGTAAATTCTGTCGGCTATGTCTGCTAGTCTATCAAAATCAACGTCTTCGTCTCCAATTGCTAGTATCTGTTGAATGTTTTGAGGGAGACGTCTGAGCCACAATTGATATAGTAGACGTTTGTCTACTGTACGATTTCCTAATAAGTTTGTCATGTGGCGTTTTAACTGTGACGGTGTATTGTCACCTAGCTCTACGTTGGCTAAAAGTTGATCAATTGTCTGTTGGTCGGTGAGAGATGTGACACGAATGACCTCTCTTTTTAGACAATCGAATGGTGAGTCAGGATCCGGCTTAAAAATGACATCCGGCACTTGTTCAATGACGTCATCTGGCAGCAGTGAATTTGCATAACTAAATTTCGTACTCTGATTTGTGATTTTGTTTGCAACAAAAAAGCTTTCCAAACGAGCAAACCAGAGTTCAGCCTTTCGTGGATTAAAAATGGGTAAAGGTACAGAGATGGCACCCACGGAAATAGATTTAGATGAAAGGCTTAACGAAATATCAAGTGCCATGATACGAAAAAGCAATAGTAATAATAAGCTGAGGATTGTAATATACAATATGAAGAGAAATAAAAAATAACAACAAAAATATATATATAAGACTCACCGAAAAGAAAAATTGCCACTTTGGGTATATGTATGAGAATATACAGTAATAATTCCAAAGGGAAAATATTATGAGTGAATTTATTATGACTGTCAATGGATTGTTATTAATTATAATAATAATTCCATTATGAAGTTCCTTATGATACTCTTGAGGAGAATGCAGCAGACTTTGGAGGAAAATGGTGCGCGTTCTAAAGGTGGGTCACCAATATGTTAAGGGTAATGTCCTCAATATCTGACTCCAAATAATAATATTCCGTAACTGAGTATTTTAGGTAGGCTTAATCTCCTAGTAGAATTGCGAATCTACTCGAGATTATTAAAAAGCCTGAACACCAGTTATAGAGATAGTTTACTGTTAATGAATAATAATAATCCACAAGCGTCGGTGAGCAAGCACACGATGAAACAGAGGGAGTGAGTGTGTGTGTTTAAAACCCATATATATTTTTGAGAGTTAATCGGGTGTGGATAGATTATCGATTATCTGCACATTGAAACCAATAGGAGGATAGCTTAAGAGTTAACGTACAGACATACATTCGATCATACACACCGAAATTAACATAGTGAATTGAGTCTGAGTTAAAATGACTAGATAAATGATACAGTAGCCAAATGGGCTTGCCACAGTCCTTCATGACTCCTTGGCTGGGGTCCGAGAGATGGTGCAACACAGTGGCTAGAGACGTTATCAGATATGGCTCAGAATAGAAGCTAATGGCGAACCTGCTGTAACCTTCTTTTACTCTCATAAAAAATGGTTGTCTCTTCCTCAACTGAAAGATTTCTTCTGATTGTACCTTTCCGTTTCCCCCATTATTATTATTATTATTATTACACTACCTTACACTAATCTCGTCGTTATTGTTCTTTTCTATTTTCTTTTGCGCTCCTTACCTTCTTTTTTTCTCCGAATTCTGATTGTTTTGTGTGGCGCATATATATTTGGTGCCCTCTTGTACCAATATTTATGTGTTCAAATAAATAAATAACCTATAAAACTGAAATCTTGTGCTATTGATTCATATGATCTGTACTCAGTTATGCTTCATTTATTTTTTTTAATGGTAAGTTATGTAGTAACCTAGGATGTAGTTGTGTGATTCAATATACCCATTTTCCATCTGGGATTGGAGCATAATAAATCTTAAGTAGAAATTATTAAAAATTAAATATGACAAACATTTACAAAAACATCTATATTTCCGAAAGACTAATTTATATCCAGAAACTATTTCAGCATCATTATTTACATGTACACTGTCTACTTATGTCTTTCTCATTTCAGAACACACCATCCAACAAGATCAGTCTCCTCAGTCAATGTATCTTGAACTCATGTTTACATTGTACAGTGTAAATAGAATAATAATAAAATCCCTGAAGTTTTGCTGATTCTGAGCCATATCACTCAACGTCTTCATTCGTTTATTCCAGTTATCGCGAGGACCCTAACCAGGTAGTCTACATTTACCGACATATGTTAGACTGACAGTCGATGGCTTTATTGACTGATGTTATGTTTTCGACTTGGTTGCCACTATCTTTACTTCAACCTACTCCTATACCAGGTAGGGGGTGGTTGGACATGCATAATACATGCCTCAATCACAGTAAATAAAGACCCACGGCTTCAATGGATTCGCCACTTTTCATCTTACCTCGAGACTGTTTATTCTATACTCTTATGATCCATGAGCAATGCTTCGAGGATACAATCAAAAACTTGTAGTCTACTCATGTCTTGTTACCATAAATCACGTTTCTCAAACATAGAGTAATAAACGATGAAGCTATACTCGGTATACTTGCCGTTCGGTCGACAAACGAATGCCTTATGCCAGAGGTAACTGGAGCTGGTAAAATCCAAGGTTTCGTCAGACACCAACCCGTCTGGGCTGAGCAGACTTTCAAGGTAAATAAAGTGGTCAGGTGCTTCACTCCTTATGATTGATCTAGGCAGTAATGCAAACTGTTATGACCTTGAATCGCTTTTACCCCGTTGATACTTGTTATGACTTGACCTTGATCTGTCTAGTCTAAGTTATGACCTTGACGCGTTAGGCTGAGCGGCTTAACCTTGAGTCTAGTACGCGTGAGTTCGAGATGGGGTAGAGAGACAACTATTCCAGAACCTGATTGGTTGGCAAGCACGCAAGTGAAAGAAGACAAGACAGTTGGAACACTGAACTCTGAATTCGGATTAGTGCAAAAATGTACATGAATAAATAAGTGAATATCCTGACCACAACGTACGATAATTTGGAAAAATACAATTATGTCCGAAACTGAGAATTAGGGTAGAAAATAAGATACAAAATTGTATGTTTAAATTACAATATTTTCGGAACAAAAAAGGGTATGGCAGTGAATGATACATAGAACGAAAGCTCATGTTGTGTAGAATAAAATAGGGACAAAAATAAATATGTGTTTTACAAGGTTTGAATGAAATGAAATAACGTCCCCAAAAATAGCTTTCGTAGTTTGTCTGGGCTTCTTATTTCCTCGTTCACAACACAAACTATTTCCGAAGCAATATTTTGCATCTAAAAGGGGAGGAACATTCAAACCGTGCTTGTATTTTAAGGTCATCAGAAGGTTCGGCCCTTAGTGACTTTAAATACGACCATGTCGTATACATATTTGAAGTCGATAAGTATACCTCTTGGTAGATTAGTCTTTGAAAATTTAGGTGAGTGTAGTTCCTTAGGAGGAGAATATCAATGAAAAAGTTGGATAAAGCTGGAAGATGGTGAACAACCCTGACAGACGCCACTTCATATTGACAGTTCTTCATGAGCTCTGACTCGGCCAATGGCATTTTAGTAAAGGATCGCCACAACACTTATGTACTTCTTTGGTGCGCGTTTTAATGACAAAAGTTGTCAGAAATCGTCCCGGCCAACAGAGTCGACCGTCGGCATGTCTATGTCCTGAAACCAGGTGAAGGGTGGATACTTAATCGATCTCACTGACGGCTGACCTTTTAATACTTGGTTCGTTGCTGAGTCGAAATAAATGTTAGTTTTATCACTTTATAGTTCATTTTCTATCCCTCGCTCCCGTTGACCACCATTGCGTAAACACCATGCTGGCCTATGTTTGAGTTCTCTGCGAGTCTGTCAGAATCAGTTTTCGGGTAACTTAGTGCGGCTAGGGTTTTTGAAACCCAATGGTTTTTCTTAACCTTCCGATTAAAGTTGGTGGCAGATATAACTGCTGTATTTACAGTCATATGGATGTCATCTCTAGCTTCTTCGGAATAGAGGCAGTCTCTAAGATGGAACAAGTGAATGATCACGTTTGAGTTTCATCTGCATTTTAAACAGGGTACCTCGATGCATGAAGTTCTACGATCTCAGCTAGTAGGGGTTGTTACCTCATTTGATATAGGGTTCGTAATTCGGAAATTCCAATATATATTTTTAGTCTTGGAATGTGTCCTGAGCTCTAAGCTTTCTACTTACAAGGGGCAAATTCAAGTTGAAGGATTCATTCATATGCTTGTATTGAAAATATATACATTCACAAAATATAATATGTGAGGCATTTATGTGAAAGTCATTGTTGACATTACTATGCATGTTGTTATTCAAGGTGATGTTTTCTTCATTTTCGGTCTCGACTTTGGACCCCAATTTTTTTCAGGATTTATCTGATATCTGTCAAGAAAAAAAGTTGGAATGAATGAAGTACTTTTTAGTATCATATTTTAAAACAAAACTGGTAATTTTTTTAAATTTGGAACAAGTAACTTATTTTTGTATGCAGTTAAACACTTCCTGGTCGTCTCTATACTTGTCTACTAATTTACCTTCTTCAAATGAGACTAGATATATTGATAGTAACCGAAGTTTGCTTTCAATATGTATACAAGAGTAAGTTTCAGTAAAAATTTACGGGGACAGCTTTTAAAAGTCCAGTCTTTCGGTCTTGGAATAAATCTGTACTATGAATTTAAGGTGTTTCATAGAGTTATGAAGTGGTGGCTTAGTGATTCAAGAGATCGATTTCCAATCACTAGGCCAACAATTTAGTTTAGGCTAATTAAAAGTAGTCGAATTGGTGATCTAAGAATTCCCAGAATAATTTAAGGTAGGTAGAGCTCGATGAGCACAACTGAACGTATTGTTTTAGGGATTTGAATTAGCCGAGGAATAATGTACAAGGAAATCATTGTTGTATATAAACATCACAGAAACCCAGTAATATTACAAGCTCATAGTTGAGTGCACAAATATGTACTTAGCAAATGAGTTTCCTTACAAAAATTTCCGAAATTGGTCCAATTTTAACTTAATCAAACAAGAGAAGTGTTAACTATCCATTAGATAAAGCCTCCAATCTGTACACAGGTTCTTGTCTGATTTTGACTTCAACCTAATATTGTTTCCATTTTATATTTGAGAATGTGACCTTAATTTCTAGTTGCTTTATACATCCCGTTAGTGTTTACAACCTTATTAACTTTCAGCATTAATTCATTCGTTCTATCTTCTGACCAGTTTGATCGCTAGGCTCTGCGAGATTGTATCACTGAAAGTCGTACCAAGGAAGTACATCAACTTTGCACAGGCTCTCCACTCGTAAACTGTTGGGCAAGTCAAAGCTTATTGCGAACCGTCAGTAGAATTTTCAACTTCAAGTGGTGTTCGTCAGAACTTTCCACTTTCCTCATTTTTATCTAACTTCGTCATAGACATCCTCTTAAAATTAACGCTCTCATCGTCCGACTTTATGGGTTGATATCCTACCACAAAATTCAACTGTTGATCTAGAATACACAGATCGTATAATTATGCTTGAAGACATACAGAGTCTCCTGATCTCCTTAAGCAATAATGCAGGTATATTTAGATTGAGATTTTCTCCTTCCAAATTCAAAGTGTTGCTTCAAGACTGGGTGGTCAATGCTTGCATTAATGACAGGGAGTGAATTATTTGGGTCTGTCGAAATCTCGTTACGGATTTAGAAAGCTCAACTGGCTTTTGCCAACTTGTGGCATAAGTGTAACATTTGTCTACCAACCAAAGGACGAGTCTACTACGCAACAGTCTACTTTTTTCTACTCTATGGGTGTGGAAAACGGTCATTAAAGGTAGAGGATATTCGCACGTTACTAGCATTCGATTATAGGTGTCTTTGAAGCATCGCTCGTCCATTTCGGGACCAACAAGTACCAGGGTTGGAGATAGGGTACTAGGTAAAGATGAAAAATCGATAGACGAAGTAGCAAATCTTCAACTGAGGAGCCTGGGGCGTGTGTTACGTATGTCTATCCACCGCTTACCTCGAAGATCGATATTGTCTGGTGCAGGAGTAGGTTGGAAGAAAGTTAAGGGTAGCTAAGCCAAGATACAGAACCAGTCTATGAAGAAGTCATTGGTAAGTGAGCAGAGCCATATTATTAGGTGTAAACTACTTCGTTGGGATCCGCGAGATTATCATAACTAATTGATTAGAGATCTTGAACTATACGGTTAAAAGTCGTTTGCAATGGCGCAGGTACATCTACATTTTGTCTAATCCTAAGTTTCTGGATTTCTCATAACCCTTTTATTTCATTGATTTTGGTTTTCTTGAATTGTAATTTTCGGTGCCTAATCTTTTCTACTATAGTGGCTTTACCTCGTTAATCAATCACCTCGATCACCATTATAATATAAATCTTAACAGTTTGAAATCAGAAGGCAATGAGAAGTAGCAACTACAGTTTATTTGCGGATAGCACAGATTACAAAGCTATAAGCGCATCAAGCGAATTTGAAGCAGAGGCGAATATATGTATATATGAGCAAATACATAAGCAAATTTATAGTCAAATCGCATAAGTGCACAGGAAAATCTAATAATAGGATTCGAGTACATAAATATATGAGGAAGAGAATGAATCATCGAGGGATATTTAAGCAATCAACATTTTAGCTAGTCTTTCATGTCTAGTGACCGTAACAGTACGAAGAAATAGACGGATTTTTACTATTCGAATAACATTGTTTGTTAAGTTAATAAAACGAATTAACCATAATCGGAACTGATTGTAGGATAGTTGCTATACTATTACCACCAGTACTGTTACTACCTCTACTACTCTGGGATTCGCCCTAACAATTTAATCTTGGTGTGCTAATGGGGTATGGCAACTTGAAACGATCTGAACACACATTAGGTCTCACGTTGAATTTGGCTGAGTGGCTGCCATCTGCACTAAGACTAGAACTCAGAAATTAAGTGTTGACTAGTGCTGGGATAGGTTAAAACAATGATGCTCATCAAAGATCTCATTTCTATTCACTTCGGTTTCGCAATCGACAAGTTGATTATTTTATAATTTCAGAGTCACTTTCATTGAAAAGTTATCCGATTTTTACAATTTCGTACCAGTTACAATACAGTTACAAAAACTTGAAATACTTGTTCCAATCTACCGTGTTGTACGTTTACCTCATACAAAACTAGCAACTATTCAATATCGACAGATTTTTAAAAAGGTACTTCACTTACCTAACTAGCCCATCATTTTTTGATGGAGGTTCAGCAAGCGGATGACGAGTGAAAGATACTGATGGATTAATTGGTCTGGTTCGTAAGCTGATGCGTACTGTTTGACTATGTGAAACATTACTATCCGATTCAATATTTGTCTCTTCCATGTTCGATGAGATTTTCAAGTTACCATCAGCATGCTTCTTTCTTCTGAAGCGTCTTTTGCTTCGAACACTGACCTTTGGTGTTGCGTTTACTTCTGTTTCGGGATCTCCTTCATCATCATCATTTGATTCAAGGTCAGGTCTTTCTCTTTTACAGTTTATTCCAGTTCTATCACAATGAGATCGAAAACAGTCGAGTACAAATGAATGCGGAGCATCTGTTTTCAGAGAATTTTTATCAGCATGCGAGCAAGAAACACGGTAGTTGGCATTTAGAAGACAAGAACTAATGAGCAGAAAAAGTCACGATATTAGTTAAGTGTTTTAAATAATTTGTGTAATAGATACTAAGTGGTAGTTAAAAATGAGATGTAGACTATCCGACTATGTAACAAACGTACAATGCTTACGTGATAGCAGTTTTCATCTATTCATGTCTATGATTTAATTCACGGTTACTCGTCCTTTGAAAAACGATTATAATGGAAATTGAAGTAAGAATCTACATAAAACTGCAACTTATTCATGATGACATTAGAGGTGTTTACTAATTCTTAGCAAAATGAGAGTATTCAAAATTAGACATTGAATTAAGGTTGCACTATAAATCGATCCACGTCTTGATGTGAGATTGAGCGACAGTGAATAATTAAATTGATCATAGAATCTCAACGCTCTCGGAAGTTCTGATTTGCCTAGACATTTGGACAAGTCGTAAGTATTCAGTATTAAATTTTAGCGACGTTTTGTTTTCCATTTAATTCTAACTGAGCGTGGGTAGCATATACTAGTAGATGAGTCAGATCGCTAATTACATCAAAATTATAGAAAATAGAAACCCAGGTGTTGTGATCAACGTGATAGCACTTTGTTACTGTTCTCTGAGTGATGCGAAGATTGACCAACCCTTTTTCTTGTGCTATATTAACACATTTCGTGTAAATTTTACAGGATACATGAAATAAATAATTTCCGTTGACTTTAAGATTTTTCCTGAGGGCTTTTACGGGCTTCGTGGAAGTCTGTTGGAGATGCTAAATCACTAAATATAGCATTTAAGAATAAATCAATCTTACGATTCATTCACTAAACTAAAATGAAACCTGTTCCTTGATCGTCAGTGTATTCCCATTTGTACTGATTCATATAATACGAAGTTAGTTTACGGAATTTCATTGTATTAGTAAATTTACTGTTATTCAGCATTTAAGTTATACCCTGCTTAGTCGGTAATCACTGGAATTAATCGGTATATTATTGCATTTGTCTTTTGAAGTAGATTGGAACAGAAGAGAATAGATGTTGTGTAGTGAACATTGGATGTGGAGTGTGGTGTTTCAAACAGTTGTCAAAATTAAGTGATTAATTCTGTTGTACAGATCGATTTTCATTTAGCAGGATGCAGTCATACTTCACTGTTTGATGTCTACACTTATACTCGAACTAAGTACCCACCATTTTAAATTCCAAAAACGACATAGTAAGTTAGAAAAAGGCTACATGTAGCCAAATAAGGACATTGGATGGGTTAATGAAGTCACTGATTGTTGGCAGACTGTCAGGTTGAAGTCTGTGGGATTATAGTAATTGGTAATTGGATATACTGTGTGATATGACTAAGAATTGGTCACTATGACATAAATGAATTCACTGTCTGCTCTTAGATCTTGAGTTTTAAATTCACTTTGCACATCTTATTTCGTGATCTCATTCTATCCTCTTAAATCCTATTTTCTATATCTAATCATTTTTACTTATTATCACTACTTCTGTATTCATCTTGATAATTGTATATAGTGCTAAGAACTTGAGACAGTGCGTATTTCTGTCACGTTTTATATTGCTTGTGACTGACTGACATATCAAAGAATTGTCCACTAAACTACTAATGAGTAACATCGTACGAATACCTATGAACTTCTACAAGTTTTTTGCAACAGATTTAATGTCTTAATAAACAAAATGTTCTTAGTGTTATTCTCCAAATAACTGACTAGGTGTATTTTCAATGCGCTTTAAAAATGAATTCTGTTTTATTTATGGCTAATTAAGGTTATATTTAATTAACAGAAGGGACTGGATAAACATGATATTAATCCCAACTTAGAAATCAATACAATTGTGAATAGCGGAAAAAATGAGACCATTAGAATTATCCTTCAAAGCTAGAAGAAAAACATTTTTTAAACACATACCTACACTACTTGTTAAAGAAACTTTTATTAATCAAACAAAAAATAGAAATAAAAAAGCCCACTTACTATAAGTCTGGTTGTTTAGGCATGGTACAACCAAAAACTGATGCTAATTGATCAATTATGTAATATAAAGGAACATCTGGAAGTTCTTCATACGCCACAGTAACCATACCGATGATACGTTTAAATGTGCGGTAATTTTTATTCGTTAGACTATGAGTTGATACCTCAACTTTTGATTCACTTGATCCAGTACCTGGATAGAATATCAAAAAATGTTATTAGAGAGTGGCAACGAATAATTATCACTGAAGAAAATGTCACGCAAACAAACAAGTGTAGTAAAATTCCTTGAAAAGTACGTAGGTTTCAAGTGTAGAGCAAAGAGATGTTCATCAATGCTGCTTACATGGTAGCTTAGTGGTTAAGGGATACGGCTTACAACCACTAAATTCCAGGTTTTAACCCCACTTTGGTTTGAGCAACCGGATAGTATCACTGTGCCTCACACTTGGATGGTGGCTTATACCCAAGTACCTGGTGAAAAAGTTAATTAAATCATTAAACCACCTCCTACTTTGAACTTTAATTTTGGCTGAAGTAAAAGTTGGAAGAAAACTAGAGATAACCGACTGAAAAGATGACATCACTCTGTGAAATCAGTGACAGCTAGTTTGAGCCATGTTCGTAGTTGTAGATGTATGTGAAGTCGTAAAGAAAATCCTTTCCACTGAATTATCTTAATTCCTCCCCAAATTACCGAATGGATCTCTTTCGTTATTAATACGATTTATTAAAATGAGAAAGATCAAAATACTCTACATAACTAGTACTGTTATCCCCCCATAAAGCTAATATTTTCAGACCAATAATAAACACATAGTATAATTATTACCACTAGAAAAATGCATTTTGTGAATTAAACCAGAGAAAATTAAGGAGAAACTGTTCAAAACTTTACAATCGGACTGCTTATTAATCACCAACAGACAATTATATTTACCCATGTTCTTTATTATTCGCCATTCAACAGAGTTATTCTAATGAATGTATGCTGTATGATAATAAGCGCAGTTATATGCACAGAACATAAGAAGCTTTATAATAATAGTTAGTCACATCCCACATGTAGGAGATTGTAATACAGCATTATCACGACATTGGAACCAGCAACAGCACGACTAACAAGTTTTCGGTACATGTTTAAGTACAAAGATTCAACAACTGGAATAAACAGGATACACTGGATATTAATCCTCAAAAATATTATTCGAACTAAATTATTTTCTTTTTATCGCTTAATTACCAAAAGTCTAGTGTCTCGGCTACGAAAAATACCTGTTGAGATATTAGCGATTTACTTACACTTCTAACTTATTTGTTTAATAAACATTAGACTCTTCAGTATATCACCAGTTTAAATAATAGTCCACTGTCATTTCATGACTCGTTTTGAAGAAAAACTTTCGAATATTTTTTAGCCTATTTAGTCAGCTTAACTAAAAATAAGGACGATTAAAGGACCGTTCCGCCTTTCTATGATGTAACAAGTCATACTGTCATCCCAATCTAAAGATAAGAATATAATGTCGGTGGCTTAAACATTTAATCCTTAGTCATTCGATTTTACGTTTGATCTTCGCCCCAGCTACACTGGTTAGGTACTGTGTTCACTCGAAACCAATCTTTAGACACTCTTTAAACCTTCGGTGCCTCTTTGATTGATCTCACTTCATCGAAGAAACCAACTAAATCCCTTCCCTTTGCCATCGCCTGGTACGTAATAACCAATTGTAGCACTCTAAAACCGATAGCATTCGACGAAACTGGCGATACAACACTAATTTCTACGGAAAACGAACACAATACCAACATACTTATGTCCAGTTGTGTTGAAGAATGATTTTCACCATTCAAACAACTTGATATACCATTGTCGACGTTTTTGGGAGGGTAGCCTAAATCCGAGAGAAACTCTTGTAGGAATGTACGACTATGTAAAGGTCCAATCCAAATAGGACCAAACACATGAAATTTCGAACCACATTCTATACATTGAGGTCCTATAGGTGGGCCAAGAGCTGCGGCAACTACTTTACTAGTATTAACTGCTTCTCCAAGAGGTTGTATATGATGGGCCTAAAAACAATAAAAGGTAAACAAAAGTACAGTACGTTGTTCGGATGAAAATATCTACAAATTATTTGACTTACTGAAAATTATACTACACAAGTTGAATAATTGTTTTTGTCTTTTTTATTTCCGTTAATGATAGGGAGATTAATGACTAACTTTCAAATACTGTGATAACAAAATTAAGCAATTGCTTTTAGGATAGTCTACCTGACAAATCAGCTTTATTCAAACAGCTATTGAAAATTAGGGGCCACTGGACGGCTATATTGTCCTCAGCGGTATGCATCTACGCACCCTCCGTCAGTGATTTAATCAACACTACGTGTCTCGATATTGGGTGATTGGGTTCAATCCTTAGTATTAACAATGAGTAACAAAAACTCTAACAATTATCTTTCACGTTTTTGCTACAAGTCTTATTTTGTAGATTATCTTAGGCACGTATTCCTTCATATACTTTATCTTCCTGATAACCATCAAATGAACAGACTCTCATATCTCGCTTCCATATGTTATTTGTATTCTTATTATCCTCCAGCTTTAAATTCTGACCACCTTTAATGCCTCTGTTAATGACGCGGAAGCTCTTTTATAATAGACCCTTATATGTAAAAAAGCAACCATAAATAGGACTATGTAGCTTTAGTGACATCGTCCAGAAGGAAATTTTCTTTGTCGAAACATCATTCTTTTTTCTTTCATTATCGTATATCTGACTATCCACAACTGATCTTAAAATCTTAGATTATCCGAGATATTCCCAATAATCCAAAGGACAAAATTACAATTCCAGACTACTAAACAGTTATTATTAATAATAAAACAAGATTTGGACGAAACGGAAAATTCATAGTTGTAGAAATATTACTCACTAAGCATCCACGACAAATATAACAAATACCATGTTTAGCTGCAATAGCTTTTACAGATATCGGACTAGACCAAACACGTACAAATACACGAATATAGAAATCCACTGACAACGATAACAAAGGTTCAATAACTTTACCATGCTGACTTGCAGCCAACTGCATAGCATTTAAAAGTATTCGTAATCCCTAAACCAAAAAAGCAACATTAATTACTAAACATGGTTATTATGATGAGTGACATTTTTAACTTGGTTTTATGAATATGGAGATACAATTTGTTTTAGAATGGAAAAGTTAAACCCTGAATCATCTGCAATTCTAGAATAAAACTCATGGACGTAGATTCTGACTTTTAAGAAAAGGAGATCCTAAGAAATGGAATAGGAGTTTTATGATGTGCAAAACACGAATAAATTAAGACATCATAACTTCTATCACATTATGAAACCTAGATATTTAAATATGTCGAAGTAAGGTATAGATATGTTGAACTTATTTGACTTCTAAGGATTTCTAGGGGAATCGTAAACAATGGAAACGGAGGAGGGATATATGTATTGCCGAGAAAGGGAAGTACTTTGAAGGACATAACGTTGATGCGTCCTAAGTCGTGTGGTCTTATGACCTCAGTTTGCGTATTTATTGGAAAAACAACTACATATATCGCATAGGTGAGGTAGTAAGTTGTTGGTCTAAATTCGGCAGCAGCTACCTCGATATGTACGACAGAGGAGGACCACAACTCTTCACACAAAGTTCGTCATTCAAAGCTGAGTACGATGTTACTTCGAAATAAATAAAACATCATTCTGTTAATGAGTATTTCGAAACTGGTTTCAACTGATAAGACTTTTTTAAAGTCACAGCTCGAAATTCCAAAAGTCCTTATGGTTATTTATTTAAACATAAATATTAGTACAAGGAAGCACCAGATTTGTATGCGCCACACAAAACAGTGAGAATGGGAAGAGAAAAAGAATGTAAGGTGCGTACGAGAAAAAAAATAGAGAGAACAATAACGACCACAGATCAGTGTATGGTAGTGAAAAAACAATAATAATAATGGGGGAAACGGAAAGGTACAACCAGAAAGAATTTTTCCAGTTAAGGAAGTTACAACCACGTTTTATGAAGTAAAAGGTTACAGCAGGTTCGCCACTGGCTTCTATTCTGAGCCATATCTGATAACGTCTCTAGCCACTGTGTTGCATCATCTCTCGGACTCCAGCCAGGAAATCGACAAGGACGAACAGAAGCCAGTTCTTTGCATCTTCCTTTCATACCACGACACTATGTCATACACTGACCACCTTTTCACTTTTTCCAACCAGTCCCAGCGTCGGCAAATAATGCACGAAGTGGAACTTTCTGGGACGACATTTGCTGGAAATTGCTTTCTTTTAGTAGAAACAAAGAAAACTGTGAACGGGATGGTAATTTTCAGGCATTAATAAATGGATTTTCAGTTGGTTTTTATTCTATCTAGTTTACATTTTTGGGTGTCTTAATACTATTCCCCAACATTTTCACATCATAATTACTCAACTAAAACATTATTTTGAGTTGACTATCACCAAATTATTCGCTGCGGAATTAAAATTATATTCATCTGCCACCTAGTGAACGAAAACTAGTCAATAGATCACTCTATGATAATTGCAAGAACCTAATAGGTCCGGCGCTTTAGCTGGGTTGGTGGATACGGAGAGTTCACCTAGGGGAGTTGGAAAGCCCTGATTCCAAACGAATGGTGCACATGGGCTCTAGTATCCTGAGTGGAAAAATGGCGTATGAACCAATCGCTGGTCACCGGTTGCCATGGGACTGCATCTCCTCACAATGCTCCACTGCCTTATGGGTCAGACCTTCAGGTCCACGATTTAAATGAACAGTTTTTTGAGCATGTTGAGGTGTGGCTCAAACGGTGATACTGACCTTTCTAGAAAATAATAAATTATGGCTTAGTGAGTCGAAATTATCAATACTGCTATTTGATAAGACCAATGGCAGAAAACAGCTTTAATCAAATCCGAGCACTTATACACTTGTGCCAACAAAAGACTGTCGGGTATATTGGGATGTACCCTGAGGACCTTACCGTGTATAGGTCCCGGATTTTTCTGAATAAATAACTCCTAAAAACAACTGGAAATACTCTCACTGCTTAGTGCTAAAATAAGTCTACTGGTAGTATATTTGAAATGGAATAAAACAAAGCCATCAGAGAACAGAAATATTCGTTAGAAAGTGACTTTTCACTCGTTGCATACGCCATTGACAACAGTAACCGAGAAATGAATTCAAGTGAAAGTTAGCGAAACTCAGAAAATTTGACATCATGCGATTCACTAGATCATAGTTTGTTATTATTTTACTGTGACTAAGGATATAGAACTTACAACTTCATGTGTAGAGCCTGTTTTAATAGCCATCCCACCATATTTTCCCATCGAAGTTCCAGGAGTGCTCCCACATAACACTGCCAAATCTGTTGAAGTGACACAGAGAAGTCCACCACTCCGTAAACACTGGACGGCCGTGTTTAAAAACGGACTTGCTGTTCCAAAGGGGTCGATATCAACCACATCAAACCTAACAGTAGTCAGAAAAAGTTGGATCACATGAAATACACAAACGAGACATAATCAGAATTTTCAACAATGAGACCACTAATTGAAGGCCATTACATAAGCATTACCTAATTAGTTGAATCGCTTTGTAAAGTTACAGTGGATATAATTTTATGACAAAGTATATATATGCATTCTGGATGTAGAAAACTTATATTGATCAAGGCTCGCGAAACTTTACGCTCAGCATTCATTAGTCTCAGGTAATTAATCTTGACCGTTTTTCTTACGCATTCTAACTCTTCGATTACTGGTGTGAAGTGTTAGTAGCATGGGTTTAATCGTTAGGGAGAGGCAACAATTAAACTACGGATTCATACACCCCAAAAATCATGTTATCCATAAAAAATAAATAAATTGTAATCACAACCGGACAGTGGTAATATAACATATGACAGTGTCAATCAACTTAATTTATAACACTACATCAGAGTGACGAAACTTGGCACGACTGAAGTCATTGGGATAAGAAATAGTAATAACACTAACGACAGTATGAAAGGAATCGGTTGATGAGTAAGAAACGTGTCGGCAATCTATAAGTGACAAAATATCCCCTTTATTTATCCTACCTACAGAAGACAAGTTAAGGAACTTTCTGGTACTACCAAACACTAAAGTTGATTCCGCTGTTTTCTGTAACAATCCTGTATAATTGTGGACTATAAAAATCTCCTTTGGTGGGAAATATCCAGAGATATACAACTAGAAACTAGACTACCAAAAATACCCCACTGAACATACAACCAAATTTATTGCTTTTGCTTTTACTAATTAAGACCACATTTTAGATAAGCTATCCGTGGATGCTCAAAATTAATTCTTATAATAAACATTGTTCGACATTCCGGATATATATAAACAAATTACTGATAAATCTAGTTGTCATATGACCTTCCGAATTTAGTCATACGGAGATGCTTCAGCTGATGATTATTTGTGAACTGAATTAACACATTGGAAAAAAAACAAACTTTTCGCCAAATGACCGACGTTGATGCATAAGGTCGACAGCGTCACCGCAGACTGTACTGACAATATTCTCCACATTATTGTGAGCGACATTCTTCTGTATCAAAGCAACAGCCTCTGGACTAAGATCATTGGCAATAATACTCGATACATTTGAAACTTCGAGAGCCATTCTAACAGATCTAATTCCGGATGCTGCTAATGCCTCCAATATCTTTAGGCCACAAGGAGAATCAGGAGTTTCTTTCGTAGTGATGCTTAATGGTCATCAAAAGGAATCATACCACTCATTTTGTCCTTCATTTTCAGAATAGCTTCTCTTCTGTGCAACTTTCCAAACTGATTTACTACAGCTATTGTAAGGTCTCTGTTAAATTCTTGTACAGGATTGTAAAACACGCCATCTGGAAGCATGACTTCCGCACAACCTTCTTTAATTAAAGATGTGCTAGCCATACGCACGCTGCACGATATACGTTGAAAAAGACGGACTGCTTTGCGTACCAAGGTCATCAGGGCAGTAGCGCATCAACATCAGACTTAGTTACAAGGACTTCAGTTTAAAATGGCTCAAATGGGATAGAAAACGATTTTTCTTAACGGCTTCCGTACCTAATAGCAGTTGACCACCAATGCCTCGAGGTAGTAACCTAGGTATATTTAACGGTTAAAAGAAAAATATTATAGTGAAATACTATCCTGAGTCCTTAAAAATCCTTAAGAATCAGTTTTATTTTGGAGAGGACAGTAGACTACAATGTCTGTGTTAGTCATGGCAAAAGTGTTCTCTCATTTGGTCAGATTATCTTTTGAAGTACTTGGCAGATGGAGCTCCAATCACGTGTTGAGTTAATGAATCCCATTCGATGGGAAAGTCGATCGTCAGCTGACAGGTAATTTGTTCTAATCTTATGAACTTTATCAATCCTCTTATTTGAAAGACAGGAAAAATATGGACATATAAGATGTAAATTTATCACTAAGTAATTCAAAATCTGTAATCAAGTCGCCTCTGGTTCTTCCACATGAAACTGGAAATATGCTTAGTTAAGCCAGTCGAACATCATATGGAAGCTTTGTTACTATGGGAATCGGTTTTCTCTTAAAAGACTACTAAGAATTCACTATCATCTAATGTTTCTCTTTGGAAACGCCTTTGAATTCTTTTACCGTCTGATAAAGATAAACAGTTCGTTGTCTCTTGTCTCGAAATAGTGTTTGGTTTTGGAGTTGGTGAAATAAAATTAAGTCTCAGACTTCCCTGCCAATTGAAGGAGGGAGGGCAGAGCATAAATCTCGATAGCGTATTTCTTCAAATTTAATATTGTGTCCCGTGAAATTGTGTTATAGATGAACAAACCACAACTCGGGATCACTACGATCAAATACTGGGAGTCGGACATCCGTATTCACAAGTGTCTGTCTCTGTCGGTGACGAATTACATATGTCCTCCAGGCTTTGGATTTGGACCTAGTCTGATATGCGGCATATGACCAACATATTAATGTAAAATGATAGGGACAAAATAATGTCTACAATACGAATATTTGTGATGAAAAAACCAGTACGTGTATATATATACAAAATTTATGTTCAAGTTAATAAGGTTTATTTTTACTAAACCAAAAACTAATAAACAAAATAGAAACTGAATTTGTGTTCAAAATTGAGCTCACCAGCATCGAATTATGGTCTAGTTCGGTATTAGTACACTTATCTTCGCTACCACAATAATAGACCTAACCCCTAAATTGTAGATTTATCATGACGTGACTACCTAGTCTATGAGGTCTTACGTGGAAGTCAAATCATTGTCTTCACTGACTCGTCCGATGGTGACCATCGGCAATATAACTTCTAGCATTTTTGAAGAACATATTTGAACTGGGGAGATAGTAATATATTTGTCACAAAAAGAAAAGTTATGAAGGGTGACCATGTCTACAAGACCGAGCCATACCATCTTGATTCATCCTCCCGCTCTCACCATTGTTTTTCATTTCCTTCGGTTACTTGTCGGATGTAAATCTTCTCAGTAAGTGTACTATCAACTTCAATAATCTTGTGGTGCAGCACCACTGCAATGTTAAATTTGAAGCCACTTCCCTCAGCTTTATCTTATACCGTACGTTACTCGCTCTTATTGCCTTAGTGCACTGATTCCTTGCTTGATAACACTACATATATGTGCTGTCGCCACGAGTTGATTTGTGTTCCGTCCAGTAGTACCTTTCAAGTCTTAACAGTCGAAGATTGCGAGTCTTTATGACTATATGTTGCGTGTAACTGTTGAGGATAAGATGTGAAATAGGTTGACGGTTTATGACTGTTTCTCCACCGAGTTGCTAACTCTACATTCTCCAATAGTCCCAGGTCCTCAATAAGGTTGAAAAAATTAGCTTCAGTAGAGTTGTCACTTCCAGTATACATGCGTCTATCAGAATTGATAAACTCTTGAGTGTACACTTGATGTGCTGCCAAACAAGATAGAAGGTACAGGGCTACTCCATCCCCCATTCCTGTTGTTCTGTCGTCGTAAAACAAAGACATCCCGGACATTGCTATCTCTTGGTCCGTAATTGGAGATATCAATGTCTCGGATGTTCTTATCGGACGATTTTATTAGCATTATTGAGTTCACACAGCTTATCCATTTTATTCAGCAAACTTACGTTATTCATACATAAGCAGTTTATGGTTTCACTTTGGAACGTTTGAGCTTCCCATCCCCTTTATCTGTATGAGCTTTCCGAGTTGGGGATGTTTGGTATCCTTCCATCGGATAAGTAGTGTAAGCGTCAGTGATTCAATTTTAGGGAGTTTGAGCTTTCTGTTGAAGTCTTCTCAAAGCGTCTTGTCGTTTTGTCCTGTAAACTTAGAGGCAAGTCAAAGCTGTCTCTAAGGTTCATCATTATGTGACAATCATTGCGAGCCGCATTTGTTTTCTCAGGCCTATTACCACTTTGATGTTGGTATCCTTTTAGTTTGGCAGTTGTACTGCGTTTTGGGGTCCCATGCTCTTTTCTGGCTGGTTGGTCAATCTCAAGCGTAGATTGCACGGCTGATCGATAAGCTAATTGTCTTACGAGATCTGGATTGTTCAGCATTTTGACGGTGACGTATGATCCCCTACAAGTGTTCTTAGTCACAATGGTGAAATATAAGCTGTTAAATAAAGACCGCCCAATGTTTTAAGTCTTCAATGCTGATCTAACATAGATTGTTTCATGATTTTAGTAAAAATGCAGTAAGCTGTAAATTGTAACATGATCGGCTGTAACGGAATGCTTTGTGGAAATCAGAAGCAAGATTCTTGAAGGATGTTCGTTTAAGTGAATAATGTAACGAGATAGGGTAAAAAGCTGGTCGGTGAGCCTATTCTTCTATCTTCATCGGTTTTAGGCTGTTTTCGGAATAATGTGAGTAGTACAAGGTACTCAAATTGTCATGGTGAACCAATCTCAAAGCGTGGTACAAACTTTGATATCTTGCAATCTTCCGTCGATGCAATTTTAAAGCTTCGTAAGTAGGCACCTATTTGAATCCAAAAAACTTCATCAGTCAGCTCTGTTGAATGCCTCGAAAACTTCCGGTAGGTTGATATGCACAAGATAGTTCTGTTCCAACGAGATGATCTCACTATCTCAGGAACCTAATAATTTTCTGTTGTCGGACCTACCAGCTTTGAAAAATTGAACTTGCTGTTATATTTAAGAATAGAATTACTAACAACTCTTTCCATGACATCTGCTACTGCGGAACACAAATAAATCGGTCCCAACTTGGGCGCTTCCTCTGTCTGTGTTAAACTTTCCGCCTTTGAGTTGCTCATTAGTCAACCATAAAGTGGGTGAGAGGGCAAGATTTAGGTATTCGTTAAGTTGTCTCGCAAGCCTAGATTTTCTTACACAAATCTTGATGTCATTTGAAGTGTGAGATTTATTGCACCAAGATTTAAGGTGTGCAACCATATCATAAGCGTCCAGTGTTGTATTGAGTAACCTGAGTTGAGCTGATGGAATTGGGTGCACTGGTGTGAGGAGTCTTGTGACTTGACTGACGCATATAGTGGTCATATCGAGTCCTCTTAAAAGAATTACTATTGACTTATGTTATGGGTCAGCGTAACTTCCAGGGATTTAGTTAACAGTCTAGAATTCCCATGGGCTATGATTAAACATTTAGAGTAGCCTCTATACAAGCCAAAACAGGCTCAGAGTTATAAGTTAAATGACAGTGGCTGTCTCATTTTTTATAATGACATGGCATATCCGGAGGTAATAAATGAGCATGCAGAAGTATCAATTGTATTCGATAAGTACTACCTAATGTACGTTCAGTGATCTGAAAGTCCTATCTGGAATTTAACAAATATTTCTTGTAGTGTAATGTTTGAGCATTGTTACACTTCACTTGAAATTCTGATCGTGGTATCAGGAGATTAGAAGCTTTATATGTGCACATGACGCTTAAAATGATCTGTCATTGCTGATACTTTGAAATGCTCGAATTCGTGGTGTACTAGGCCTGGATGTTTCACGCTATCAGCTTCATCGTTATCTTTCACCACTGACGGCAGATACTGAACGAAGATGACTGGTCGAGAGATGTCAGTTGTCACATCAGTAGGAAGATCCCTTGTGTCAGTTCGGAGGGTGAAGCCACCCTAACTTGTGTTCAACCGCGTCACGTTTATGAGCCTGTGGCGTAATCACTTTTATCGACGTCGACTCTAAACAAATCTTCATAGTTCATGTGCTAGTATTCGAAAGGAATACCAGCTGTAGCGTTAAGATTTACATGATACAAATCGGGAACTGTTCATACTACTTTTCCTAACGTTATAGCAAACAATTTACTAGTTTAAGGGCGATCGGGATTGTTTTTGGTACACAAAGTTCCGGCGTTGCGTCCTCCTCTCGATCACGGTTATTATGATACACGGCTTCGGCACTAGAACTCATGGAACCCACAGTCACGAGTTGAGAGGGAGAAAAAAATAAAGACAAGAGTCTAGTGAGTGTCGAAAATGTACCGAAAAACAGGTGTATTTATAGTTTTTCGCACAGACCATGACATAATTTTATTCCATCCAAAATTGCCAGTAGAAAGTTTACCCAGTCGTTCAGTTATAGGATGGAACGTTGATATTCTGGAAAGCTTTATGAGATTCTGATTGGATGGAATCTCTTATGCTCGTTTAGAGCCTCCGTAGTTTTGTACTACCTTCTAGGAGCCATCCTATCAATAAGCGGTATGGCGTTCGACATTTGCGTCACCTGATCTTGGCCGCATGTTTGCTCCTTAATTTCACGCCTAATCAACCTGGATTCGTTGGGCTTAACTCTTCATAAAATAGGCAAGACAGATGCACATGGTATTCACTTACAACCTTCAGTCTTCTGTCAGCGCCAAAATCGTGAGCATTGATAAATATCATGATTAGTGGAGAATATACGTGGTCTATGTTTTACCACTGAACTATTCCATTGCTCATACAGCAAGTGACAATTCATCTTTGTGTTGTATCCCGCTTAGGGATAGGATGTAAACTGTCCAATCGTGTCTCTAGCGACCCAGGCAAAGCACGCAACCTATTTTCTGAGCTGAAATTGGGTGAACTCTTTAGTGTTTTTCGTCAGCTTGACAACCATGTCTCTACAATGTGCTTGGAACCACTTGGGTGACAGC